CCTTCCCCTTCACCCGGTCGTAAAATCACGCGTTCTCGGTAGCATCGAGGAGGGCTTCTCAGGACCGAAAAGAACTGAGGATTCGAATGGTCTCTGGAAAAGTACGTCGCAGAACTGATTCGGACTTACCAGGTCCATCTAGGTCTGGAGAGATCTTGAAAGTCCTGTGTACGTCCAATCAGAACCAAATCCTCGACTCGGGTTCATTTCGAAAAATTTGGAAAATTACTTTTGAAATTCCAATGCGAAAGTCTTGAAATTTTGAGTGATTACAAATTGACATTAAATTTCTGGACATTTTTTTCGTTAATGAATAGTCAATCTTTTGAATATCCAGTGGAATTCCAATTTTTGTACCATATGACAATGAAAATTATTGAATAGTGAGAAAAATTAGGTCATTATTTTTCCGGGTTCTCGATATATTGAGCATTCAATTAAATGTGATTTCCAAATTTAAAAATTAATATAAAAATTCAAGATGCAATTGAAATTATCATTTAGCATGTGAACTTCAACTTCTGTTGAACGTTTCTATCTAAAATGAAACGCGCAGGAAATCCTGGCAGTTGTCAACGAAATTCTCAAAGAAATTGTTTAAACAACAAATAGTGAAACAATTCATAAATTTTTTCCAATTTATTTCATGCAATTTTAATGACAATGTGGATATGAACGAATCAAAATTTGAGATGAATGCTGGAAACTTTCTAATTTTCCAGCATTTTTGAATAGTATCCGTCAATGGGAATAATCCCCCTATAACCGACAGTACAGATTTCTGCTGCAGTCTTTTACTGTACGAGTTTGATAGTTACCGTAAGAGCACTGAATCCTCCACTATTTTTCAAATTTCTCCAAACCCCCGATCACTGCAGAATAAAATCTTTTTCTTCTAATTTTAATGTTTTATTATTCACCGAGACATTCACACAATTGAGATCCTGTCGTAAAATGTAAATAAGTTTCTACAATCAAATTTCGAAAGAAAACAAGAATCCTTCGATGCAGTTCCGGTGTCCTCACCGTTTCCTACACTGCTCCCATTCAATTTTCGTATTCTATCATTTCCATCCTACAGTACGTACCTCACTCATTTGCGTCGCGCGCAATTTCCCCGGTAAGAAAAACTGGGTTATTCAATTTTCCCTTGGATATCATATTCTCCGGTGTACAAATATTAGATTATTTTTTTTATCTCATCACACGGAGAAAAAACTTGAGGGAAAAATATGTGACAACACGTAAAAGGAAGGCGAGATGCTTTTTCGGAGATTTTGACGTAAAAACGCAGAAAAAATGCGGACAAAAAATGAACAAAATTTTCCTTTTCAACTTCTGGAAATTTTATGAATGAAAACGTAAACACGACCAGTGGTTTCACGTGGTTTCTACGGTACTTTTTTCAAAAAAAATTTCCGAGTACACTAGGCAAGGATGCGTGCTTAGGGCGTATACAGAGCAAAATATATAGTGAATTTCAACAAATAGTTGGTGAAATTTAACAATCAATTAATTAAAATTGAGAAAAGATTTTTCAATTTCATTCGACAACCATTTGTTAAATTTTCTAAACAATACTAACAATAATCCAAAATAAGAATAATAATATTAATGGTTATTATTATAACAATTATGAATTATTCTTTATCAAATTCGATCTGTGTTATATCATAAGAAAAAACTAAATTAGATTTTTTTTGTGCCAATATAGATGAAATTTAACTTGGAATAGATCCATCTCAGAGAACACTTCAAAAGTAAATTCAAAATTAATGCAGATGCTGATGCACTGAGAGAAAAATAGGATTCTTCTGACTATATTCCATCACCATCGAATTATAGTCAAAAAGTCCTCAACAATTTTGCATGGATTACGGTAACCATGGCCGGAGAAGTGAGTACTACAATGGAATGTAGTCATTGCAACTGTTTTATAGTTCTACTCACGATAGATTAGTCGTGGTTACTTTTGAACTTTGGTTAGTTCAACTGCATTTTGATTTGCAAAAATGACGCTTGTGAAGTTACTATAATGTTATGTGCCGCATACAAAAAAAAAATCGTATCGTTCACCAAAACTGCCTCAACTATTTTCTTATTGTAAATCGAGTTTCAGATTCTTCTCTCAGTGTGTTTTGACATTATCAATATGTAAAAGAAGTTTATTCTTCTCGGGATATGAACGTATTCATAGATTTTTTTCTTGCAAACACTGAGATGAAAAATCGTTTGCCAACACACGTGGCAAGCGCTATTCCCCATGTGAGAGTACATTACTGCATACTCGCGATTTCTTAGGGATTTTTTTCTCTTATTCACACCCCCAAAGTTCAAATATTGGCACGACTTTGGCCACTGCTTGAGGCAATTTCCGGTAGTTTACGTTCTTTTTTTGTTTCATGAAAGACTTTAGACACAATGTATTCACGGTAACAACTGTTATGAGCGCCTGAGGATTTATATAAGAGTGACAAATGCAATAATCTGCAGAAGTTACTGAGGCGCGCGGAGAGGACCGAGAGGATAGTGAATAGAAGCTTTTCATCTCTTACACCTGGGGTACGCCGAGTTCACAGGTATGTGAAGTTCATGCACAAGTGAGTGCAGCTCAATGGAAATCCAACAGAATTCTCTAGCGAATTCGGTAGGTTTCTCTAACGGTCATCCCCATGTACTAAATTCTCTTTTAAAAAGAGAATGTAACGTTTTTTGTCAGCAATCTATTCCGCCATGCCTATGTTTAGGAATATTTCCATCTTAAACTTGAATACCTTTTTATTTAATTTCTTTCAAATTATCTATATTAATTATCTATTATATGTATTAATGATATCTTTATTTTTTTTATATAAAAGTTTTCTAATATTTTCATATATGTGGGCGTCCACATGAAAAGGGCCCACTTTGACGGTATTGGAGTTATGTATGTTCCGATAATCTTGATCCGATTTCTCACATTTTGAGCTCAAAATCAACCCGATAGAATGGAAACTGACGTCAGTATAGACAACCAAAAAAACAATTTAACATTGGTTTAAATGGGAGATGTGGAGAGAAAAACGTGAATATCTCGGAAAATAGATGCGACAAAGTGGGCCCTTTTCACGTGGACGTACACACGTACGAGTACAGTATTATCGTAATATCTTTAATGTATGCTATCATCATTTATAAAATATCTGATGACACAACACGCCGAATAGATTGGCTTCAAAAAAGTCACACTGGATGTATTATATATTAAAAAAATAGAATACATTCCTGAACCTTTTCCTTCGGAAACTTTGATATTAAATTTAGAAATCTAATATAAGATTATTCACTACAATTGACATACATTAAGCCCCATGGCGTAGGACATACGCGCGCGGACTAATCTAGTGAAATACAAAATGCAGAATTTCTGCAAAAAAAACAAAATGCATTGAATTTTTTTCAGTCAAATATCTATCGAAAAATCTCACGACAAAGCTGAAAATGCATAGAATTATTTTAGAATTTCGGAGAGAAAGCATTCGAGTCTCCTAGGAAACTTTTTTAGATCGTATGAGGATGGGAACTCCAAACTCACCAACGGAAGAGGATCGCAGTGGACATGAGGAGATTAATCCCGGTGGAACCTCTGTCGAGGCTTTTTTCGCAGCATCTGTTGTCTTCATCACCGGTGTCACCGGTTTCCTCGGTAAAGCGTTGCTGGAGAAACTCCTCAGGGCATGTCCCGAAATTTGCACGATTTACGTACTGATCAGACCGAAGAAGAATTGGGGTGTTCAGGAGAGGTTTGAAAGTCTTTTTGATAATCCTGTGAGTGGTTCATACACTATTCAATTTTTTAAAATCAATTTTCATTGAAATTTGTCTTTTCAATTTTGAGAATTTTTGCGGATGAATTCCCTTATTTTTTGTGATGGAAATTTGAAAATAAAGAGAAAAAAAATTCTGGGGAATAATCAAAAACTTAGCGCATCTGCAAGAGAATTGAATTTCATTGAAAAAAAATTTAGAATTCTGTTTGTATTGAAATTCTCTGAGCTCTCTTTTCCATATAACGTAAATTTCTCTAGCTAAAATCTCTGCATAATGATTTATATAAAAGAAAAAATCTAGTTTTTCTCGATTGAATTATTTCATACATGAATTTACAAAAATAAATTGATAAGTCAATGAATTGATTGAATACAGCAGAACAATTTGCATGAAAAAGACAAAATCTACGGTTTTTCCCAGAGATTATTATTAAATTTTTGCTGAAGGTATTCGACCGAATAAAATCGGAATGCCCCTCTGCAGTAAACAAAGTGATCGCCGTCAGCGGCGACGTAAGCCTCCCTAATTTGGGTTTAAGCGAAAAGGATTGTCTGATGTTGACGCAACGAGTGAACGTAGTGTTCCACAGTGCAGCCACTGTGCGATTTGATGAGCCCCTCAAAGTCGCTGTCGATTTAAATGCCAAAGGAACCGAGAGGATGATTGACTTCTGCGCTGGCATGATGAATCTCGTTAGCTTTGTTCATGTCAGCACAGCCTACAGTAATCTCGACCGTACTGAGGTTAAAGAGATTATTTACAGGTGTGACGCTCCAACGACTTCTCAATTGTGTGAATGAATATGAATGACTCAGAGAAAAATTTTTCTGATGTCATTTCATTCAAAACTCTTGGGCTTTGGATTCTATGAGAATTCTATTTGAAATTGCATTCATTATTTTGCGAAATGCTATTGACAATTTTACCGGTTTTCAGAAGATTTCGATTTTTTATTTTTCTATGGAATTTCTTCGTGAGATATTTCCGGAATAAGCTTTCTGAATTGTTTCTAATTTCTTTTTTATTTCTTGTTCATTACAAAATACAAAAAAGTTAATAGAAAATAAACTAGGAAATTCGTGAATCGCCTAAATTTTTTTGGATTCTATTAAACTTTGTTTTATTTTTTCAATGAAAAATATTCTGAAACAAATCAACAGAATTCGATTTTTCGATTTTCTACAGAAATTTCTCGACTCGAATTTTCCAAGTTTTTAGTTTGATTTTTCTAATGAAAAGAGAAGAAAAACAGTCGAACAAAATCAGAAAATTCATGCCGAGAAAATTTGAAAGATGAAGTTCTACCGATTTTTTCTATGAAATAGTTTCTATTAGACATTTTCTGTAATTTATTCTATCCGATAGAATCGGCCAGAAACGAATGTAATTTTCGATAGAAGTTCAGCAGAAATCCAATGGAATTTTCTCGTCTACGTTACAATATTCGATGAATTTTCCTCACTGGATAATTTTCTTCCCAGGGCAAACGTTAAATCAGGAGTTATAATCGACATGTGTGATAATCTGGACGACGAAACCCTGAGAATTCTCGAGGAGAAATTGCGTGGAAAGCACCCAAATACGTACACATTAACAAAGAGATTGGCTGAGAATATAATAATGACGAAGGGCAACGGTTTGCCACTGGCAATAGTTCGTCCGAGTATCGTCTGCGCAGCGTATCAAGAGCCCTTCCCCGGCTGGATTGACAATGTCAGCGGGATCACCGGAATAATGACAGAAATTTCCCGGGGAACAATCAGGAGTGTAATTTGCAATCAGAAGCTTGTTGCCGATATTATTCCACTGGATTACGTTGTTGACACCCTGATTTGCGTTGCCTGGTACAGGTCAATGCATCCTAGCAATACTATTCAGGTGTACAATTGCGTCAGCTCGATTGCTAATCCATTAATGTATGTGAGATTTTGTGGTATTTTATGGGTTTTACAGGATTTATCGAAGAATCTATTACAGTAGAGGCTTCGTATAAGACACCTCTCTATAAGATACCTCGCACTCCGAGCGCTCGAGGGGTACCCCCACTCTCGGCACTTTTATCGCCTCTCGAATGTTCATGTTCCGTGGGCTTCTTATAAGATACCTATGGCTCCGGCCATTTTTCAACGGGAAGAGAGTAGTTATAAGAAGGAAACGGTGTTAAGGGTCAAACGGGACGGACGAACGAAGTGATCATGAGGGTCTAATGACCTTAAGGGGGGGTCACACCACTTTTTTCAAGTAATGGAAATATACATCGATTTTTTTTTCACTTTTCCCATCGAAAAATCGTAATTTTTCGTCTGTGATTATTCTTGAGTTCACCAACAATCCCCCAACATCAGCTACCATTCTATCACGCGGCGTTATGTTTAGAGAGAAAAGGGAACGCGGACGATACAAATTCAAAACATTAAACACATAAATTGATTAGTTATCGATATTCAGTCAGTAAAAATGAAAATTTCATTGAATTCCGGTGCAACGAGCGAGGTATCTAATCCAATGACGTATGTGAGATTTTGTGGTATTTCCTGGGTTTTACAGGATTTATCGAAGAATCTATTACAGTAGAGGCTTCGTATAAGACACCTCTCTATAAGATACCTCGCACTCCGAGCGCTCGAGGGGTACCCCCACTCTCGGCACTTTTATCGTCTCTCGAATGTTCATGTTCCGTGGGCTTCTTATAAGATACCTATGGCTCCGGCCATTTTTCAACGGGAAGAGAGTAGTTATAAGAAGGAAACGGTGTTAAGGGTCAAACGGGACGGACGAACGAAGTGATCATGAGGGTCTAATGACCTTAAGGGGGGGTCACACCACTTTTTTCAAGTAATGGAAATATACATCGATTTTTTTTTCACTTTTCCCATCGAAAAATCGTAATTTTTCGTCTGTGATTATTCTTGAGTTCACCAACAATCCCCCAACATCAGCTACCATTCTATCACGCGGCGTTATGTTTAGAGAGAAAAGGGAACGCGGACGATACAAATTCAAAACATTAAACACATAAATTGATTAGTTATCGATATTCAGTCAGTAAAAATGAAAATTTCATTGAATTCCGGCGCAACGAGCGGGGTATCTTATTTAAAACCCGTTGATCCCTATTTTTCTCCTCTCTATGGGCGCGCGTAGTGGGGGCATAGGAGTTCCCGGAATTCCACTCTCCTACTGTCCCTAAGGTATCTTATACGAAGCCTCTACTGTATTTTTAAATTTTTTTCTACACGATCTGCACCGTCAGACAACTGTAATAGCAGTGATTTTCAGGAACGCGACAGGAAATTACTCAGAGGAAAGAAAAATCACGAAATTTAAATAAAAATTCAATGGAATGACAAATTGCCATTTCTCCTACTACTCCAGGCCATTATTACGGTTTTCAGCAATGTTAAAACTCAAAAAATTAGTAATTTATTCTTTTTAATTTACCATCGCTTCGAGTGGTAAATCTCACTTCTCTTCAGGGTAATCTATGTATTTCCATCTATATGAATAGAAAAAAATATATTACGACTTAATTTTAACAAACAGAATTTCGATAAAATTTCCTCTGAAACCTGATTTTCCTGTTGAATTTTTTCATACAATTTCGTATTAATTTTTGAACAGTTGGCGAACAATGGGTGAACTGGTTAACAAATATGTGTTAGAGTTCCCGTCCAAACACGTATTATGGTATCCAGGATTCTCATTTAGGACGAATAAATTTATGCATTCGCTCATTGCAGCAAGTTTTCATCGTCTCCCGGCATACATCGCTGATCTCATTTTAAAAATCCGAGGTGCCAAGCCAATGTAAGTACAGCTCATCCAGAGATGTGATAAATACAGAAGGGAAGTAATGAAGAAAAAAAAGTGGAAAAAGATTTTTTTTGTGAAGTGGCTCACTGCGCTTGTCTACATCAAGTATAGTTTTTTTTGCTGAAAATTAGTAATTTGCTTTCGGATGGTAAATTGGGGAAGAAGATATACCAGGCAGGAAACCTTAATATGATCCCTAAATGTCCCAAATGTCTAACATGAGCTTCATATGCTCTGGTTAAACATCCAACAGACACCGACTAAATTAAAATTGAACTGGTTTAAACTTCCACTGAACATTGACTGAACCTTGGTGAAACCTTGGTTAAACCCTGATTAATCACCGACTAAAGCCCCGACTAAACCATGATTACACGCGAGAAAAAATTTAATAGAAAAAGCGATCGAATTCGTTAGAAAATTCTATTGAATTTCTATTAAACTTTCTATCAGTTTTTGGCTGATTCTGTTGACATGTTCAATAGATAAAGTCAACAGAATTCGATTTTTCTATATAACTCATTCTTTTCATGTATTTTCTATAGAATTTACTCGATTCAAATTTTCTATGTTTTTTTCATTCTATTTTTCTTTTATTCTCATCAAGAAAATCAAACGAAAAAACTTAGAAAATTTGAGCCGAGGAAATTCTACAGAAAATATCTCAATAGAATAAGTTATATAGAAAAATTGAATTCTATTGACTTTTCTACTGAATATTTTCTATTGAACATTTCAGTAGAATCGGCCAAAAACTAATAGAACGGTTCAATAGAAATTCAATAGAATTTTCTAACGAATTCGATAGGTTTTTCTATTAAATTTTTTCGTCCCTGGAAACCTCGATCAAATGCTTTTCAATGCTATACTTTCAAAGCAAATGATGCGATCGCCGCTATCTTCGAACTCAACCAAGACAATATCCAAACGAATATTTAGAGCCATAACTGAAAAGATTTTGACGATTATTTTTTGAATGATGAAATCCATTCAGCATTCATCGACTAATACGAGACGATATTTCTCCATAGAATGGTGAAAATTGCAAAGCGCTTGGAACGTGCTGCACAAACTGGTGAATTTTTTTCATTCAACGAGTGGCAATTCAGGGGTGAAAATATGCAGCAATTGATCAGGACCCTCAAAACGAGCGATTCCTGTAGCAAATTCAACGTCGACATTGCCACACTCGATTGGGACACATATTTCCGCGCGTATATACTTGGCATTCGTGAATACATCTTGAAGGATTGTCCAGATACTCTGACGAATGCTCGAAACCGGCTCTCCAAGTGAGTTGACACGTATAAAAATATTGAAACGAAAAACTTTCTTCAAGAAATTCTATTCAATTTCAATTGAAGTTCTGTCAGACTTCTATTAAAAAATTCTATTTGTTTATTTGTCTGTTTGTTTTATTTTTTTGATAGAAAAAATACAATAGATTTTGATTTTTCTATAGAAATTTTTGGTCACAAATTTGCCGTTTTTTTCACGCTGCATTTTATAGTCATTTTTTTTCAGGAGAGTTGCATAATTTTAAAGGAAAATAGAATATTCAATAGAATTTCTAAATAATTTTTTCATAGATGCATTTTTTAAATCAATTAATTACTTGATATCGCATTAAAAAACGGACTTCTATTGGATTTTTTCTCACATGATCTATCCATGTGTTCTCATCATTTGTATTTCCCTAATTGCAGACTCTATTGGATTCACAAGTTAAGTCAAGTCCTCGTGAGCTTCGTTCTGATAAAAATGATCCTCCGAGTGGGTCAGGTGATGTTTACCTTTGATACATAGCAGAACGAATCGGGGAATTCATTGTCCATCCGTCGTCACACATTTATGAATGAAATCACTGCAGTGTTATAGTTTGAACTCGCGGAGTTGCAATTAAATCAATTGCAACCGATAAAAAAGTTTTGTAAAAAAAAGGGGGAGGATTTTTAAGACAAGAAGAGCGTGAAATAAAATTTGGCTCGATGATGATAATGAACGTGTTTTACCCTCATTACCATCATCAGATTAATTTAAATGATCCGAACCTTTATTCCCATTACTATTAAGGGATTCCTCACTGCGAGAATTAGGTTCCAGATTTTTAAATGCTGTTTATGATCTGCTCCTCCACCCGCTTGAACGTTCAAACTTGCGGCAATTAAGACTCAAATGTTAATTTCATTCACTCAACATTTTTTTTCTTCCCAGAAGAAGCAGGAGGAGCATCTCCGTCGATCATTAAAAGCTCTCTTTTTAATTTCGCGGTAATTCAAGGAGGAAATGAGCGATAGAATCCAATGAACGCGTGGATAAATCCATTTGAAAACATTTTGAAAAAATCGCTTGGAGTACCGCCACACGTACGCCAGCGGTATCTGTCGACTGTGCATTCAACTCCTCATCTTTGAAATTTCTCCCCTCCGATTGGTCCAGTGGACGGCGGCCTATTCCCGGCGTATATCCAACAAAGACAGGACGAGCGAGAGATGAAATTCGGCTCGATGGTGATAATGAACGTGTATTACCCTCATTACCATCATCAGATTAATTTAAATGGTCCGAACCTTTATTCCCATTACTTTTAAGGGATTTCGCGCTGCGAGAATTTGGTTCCAGATTTTTAAATGCTGTTTATGATCTGCTCCTCCACCCGCTTGAACGTTCAAACTTGCGGCAATTAAGACTCGAATGTTAATTTCATTCACTCAACATTTTTTTGCTTCCGAGAAGAAGCAGGAGGAGCATCTCCGTCGATCATTAAAAGCTCTCTTTTTAATTTCGCGGTAATTCAAGGAGGAAATGAACGATAGAATTCAATGAACGGGTAGATAAATCCGCTCTGCATCTCTGTCGCATCAACGTGTTCTCACTCTGGCCAGGGCCTCCAAAGACTCCCCAGCGGTCCATGCTCTCAGTATTCTCACAGAAGCCGATCCGGTTTCACTAGAGGACTTGTCACGAGGAATTGGTGGTTTTTTTAAAAAGAATTTTGGGGAAGTTTTATTTATGAAGAGGTAATACATCCGCGGGGGGATTGAATAATTCGCGATGGGGTGGTGGCCGCTTGCGCCTCTGCTCCTCCTTTTGGTGGGTAAAATTGGCGCAGAAATTCTAACTCCACCGTATTTCAATTTGGCTGAGGGCAAGGAAATTATCGCTTCGGCTACTTGCGGTGTTGACACAACCGGACCCGAGTTGTATTGTAAACTTGTCGGCGCTAATTCGGATCAGCACGAGGATATCAATCTCATTCAGGGACAGGTGCGGATTTTTTTTATTATTTATTCGCGGTTTTTTAACGCTCTCGGGATTTCATTCAACTGAATGGAAAATTTCCATTTTTTATGCAGAAAAGAGTGAAAATCACTGTTGAACTTTATATGAAGTGAATTTTACGAAGAAAAAAATGCGAGGAAAAATGTTATTTTATGAAAAATAGAGAATTCAAGAATCTTAGAGCATGGGAGGGGATTGTTTTCTGTAGAGTTTTTAATAATTCCGGGGTTTCATTCATTGAAAATGAAAAATTTCTATTTGTTTATGCAGAAAAGAGTGTAAATTGTTGTTGGACTTTATATGAAGTGAATTTTCCGGGAGAGAAAAATATTTTTTCAATGAAAAATACAAAATTTAAGAATTTTAGAAAAGCTGAAGAGGAAAAAACTATATAATTATAACATTATTGACAGAATCAATAGAAACATCAATGGAGTGGAGATTATTTACTGTAGATAATCAAGTGTGAACTATTATTTATGATTTTTTAATATTCCGGGTATCATTCAATTAAAAAGGCATAATTCCTATTTGTTTTTTCATGTGAAGTGAATTTTCCAGAGAAGAAAAATATTCTTTTATGTAAAATAGAGAATTCAAGAATTTTAGGGAAGAGGAACAGGAGAAAATTATAGAATTCTAAAATTATTGAAAGAATTAATATCAATGAAATGGAGATTATTTACTGTAGATAGTCAAGTGTGAACTATTATTTATGATTTTTCAACATTCCGGGATATCATTCAATTGAAAATGCATAATTCCTATTTGTTTTTTTCATGTCAAGTGAATTTTCCAGAGAAGAAAAATATTCTTTTAAAAAAAAATACAGAATTTAATAATTTTACAAAATGGGAAGAGGAGAAAATTACAGAATTATAAAATTACTGCCCCAGTTAATGGACATATTTATGCAATAGGTACTACTCTCCGTAAATAGTAAAGGGTGAATTGCCATGAAGTTTCTGCATGCAAGATCTTGTTCAAAGAATTAGGATATGCGTGAGGATTAACCGCTCGCCGGGCGATCAAAGGACCTGCCACTAGGTCCTCGTTGTTTTGTAACAAAAAAAAGTGTAGGCTCGCAAAACCTGTCCTAAGCACGAAGCCATAGGGGCATTCCACGTCCTCCAAACATTCCATTACAAATATACACGATTTTTAATGAGTATTCTTCATATTAAGCGATAAATCGCGCCTTCAGTTCAACATTTTTTATTGCACGAAGAAATATCGAAAGCAATTTCTGCAGCCGAAATAAAAATCCTTGACATTTCCTCCTACAGATCTTATCAACATCTTTTTCCTCATCAACATTAACATTAACTTTGATTTTTGGCAACATTTCGCGGGAAAATGTCAAAATAAAATAAGTAAAATATCTAAAAAAAATATTTCTTTTAAAGATTAAAGTATTTCTCTGAAGAATATCATTTAAAAAAATATTATTTCTTGACATTTTCCCCTAGACCTCAGTATCATGAAATTACCTAATTCAATTCATCATGAAATTGTAATTCAAAATTCAACTGAAAGTAAAAAATCGACAGCCGAATGTTCCCCATTCCTAATCGCTGTCCTAAGCACGAAGCCATAGGGGCATTCCACATCCTCCGAACATTCCATTATAAATATAAACGATTTTGAATGATTATTCTTCATGTGAAGCGATAAATCGCGCCGTCAGTTCGACATTTTTTATTGCACGAAGAAATATCAAAAGCAATTTCTGCAGCCGAAATAAAAATTCTTGACATTTCCTCCTACAGATCTTATCAACATCTTTTTCCTCATCAACATTAACATTAACTTTGATTTTTGGTAAAATTTCGCGGGAAAATGTCAAAATAAAATAAGTAAAATATCTAAAAAAATTATTTCTTTTAAAGATTAAAGTATTTCTCTGAAGAATATCATTTAAAAAAATATTATTTCTTGACATTTTCCCCTAGACCTCAGTAATCACCTCATGAAATTACCTAATTCAATTCATCATGAAATTGTAATTTAAAATTCAATTGAAAGTAAAAAATAAAAAATAAGCCGAATGTTCCCCATTCCTAATCGCCATAAAATTTGGAGATATCTCTGGTCAAAGCAAGTAAAAGAGGAGTTAATCAGATAACAATGACCTCTTAACAGCCATTTCCCTCGAGTTTATCATCACGATGTACTAAACAACTCGATTTAGAGGCGTTTGGCCTACCCCATAGCGATGTTAGTCTAAAAATAGTTCATTTGGGCCACGGATTCCGGGTGTTTTAATGGTTTTTCGCTCGATAGGTGTGCGACTTCTGCGATCCCTCGGTTCCGGAGAAAAATCATCCACCAGAGCATGCTGTTGATGGGATGGAGACGTGGTGGCAGTCGCCGCCACTATCACGGGGGATGAAATATAACGAAGTCAATTTGACGATCAATCTGGGACAGGTAATAGCGGAATTCATGTTTCCTTCTATCAAATTCGCCCGCTTCTTGAATAGGAATATTTAATTGAGAATGGTTAGTGAAAGAAATGAATTAATTTCGATTTTTCTTCTGTTTGAGGCATTTTTTGTAAAAATTTATTGACGAAATTTTTTCTCACGGCGTTTTGTTCCTTTTGTTTAACAATTTTAGCAGTAAAATGAGAAGATTGAAGGTGCAGTGAGAGAAAAAATTGGTTCTGTGGAAAAATTTCAAGAGGAAACCACAATTTTATTCCCGAAAACTGTGTTATTGGCAAAAATAAAGAGTTTCGAGAATTTCTTGAAACGGTTTAAGTTGACTCATCTGCCCCTTGAGTTTTTGAGGAATATATTTCCGAATCTAAGGGAGATAGCGAAATTTTCGTAATTACATTTGTTGTAGCTCTCAATCTGCTCTATAAAAAAGGTTATAACAACAATTTTGCTATCTCCCTTAGATTCCGAAATATTCATTGAAAACTGGCCGATAGTCAAAATTAACTTGTACCGTTTTGCCACTTCGCTACTGAAATGTTCCCTTTGTAAATAAAAAAAACTGTTGAGAGACTTTCCATGAATACTCGAAATGATGACTGCTTATCGCGAAGGGAAGACCGATAAGCTTTCGAAATATCGAGGCAAACGATTTATCGTAAACAACTTCCTGTACTATTCAGCTCCGAGGGAAATGAGTTTATCGTTCAGATAATTCTCCCTCCGCTCGAAATAATATTCCCCGAGACTGGAATCTACGGTTTTCAATGTATTAAAAATTTCCGAGGGAACGCGCTGGGAAAAAGAATCGGGGAGGGAGATGAATAGAGGCTAGAGCACCCACAATACTGAACGTTTCTGAGAAACGACTGGGTAATCTGTGCGGTGGGCCGAAAGACCTCTGCACGGAGTGCACTAAACCCGCACATGTGTTTTGGGGGCTCAAAAGGGACCAAGAGAACCAACAAAGAGATGAGGAAAGCGAGACGGAGAATTTTCATAGGGTTCCACGCACATCTGGCCGTACTACGCCCCTCCCTCACGATTTTTTTTTCGAAAGACTAATGATCTTTACGATGTCTTGAAACCCTCAGAGAATTAACTTCGTCGAAAATAATATTGGGATTATTCGCATGTCGGGACGGTCAAGGAGATAATTAATTTTAACATTCAATTGAAATTTATTAGTTAATTCAATAGCGAAGTGGTAAAACGGTACAAGTCAATTTTGACTATTGACCAGTTTTCAATGAATATCTCGGAAGCTAAAGTAGATAGCAAAATTTTTGTTATAACATTTTTTGTAGAGCCGATTGAATGCTATAAGAAATGTAATTACGAAAATTTCGCTATCTCCCTTAGATTCGGAAATAATCCTCAAAAACTCAAGTGGGAGACAAGTCGACTTAAACCGTTTTACCACTTCACTACCGAATTGCATTTGTCTCATTTGATCCTTTGCCCATTTTAGACATTTTGCAACATTTTTATTATGCAAACTTTGGAGGTCGGATTTTGAAAAATAATTTTTTAATGGTTACCACATTTCAAAGATTTAAATGAAAATTGGAAACTTTCGATTTTGAAAAATTTATTAAAATTGATGGGAAATCCAGATTTTTGAAGATTAATATTTTTAAAATTGACTTTTTTCAGTTAAAAAGTTATTAGACTAGACATTGTTCATTGTCGACTCATTTCAAAAATCAATTTTTCGTCCAAAAAAAAGTTTTTTTGAAATTTCAGACCATTTTTCTTGTTTATTGATAAATGGAAATATTGTAAAAAAAATTTGCGTTGCAAAATGTCGTTTTTTCAACTATTGCTCACACAATTAAATTGTCATATTGACGATTAAAAGTGTCGAAATCTATATTTTCTTTGAAATTGGAATCACCCTCATTAAAAACAATAATGAGATTCCCCCAATTCCCAAATTGAAGCTTTAATCAATTCTTTTTCTTATTTAATTACCCAATTATTATATGCTATATAGTTGTCCATTCATTTGTTCTTGATTATTTTTTAAGGAATTCCACGTTGCCTACGTCTACATCCGAATGGGAAATTCCCCCCGTCCGGGCCTCTGGGTCTTGGAGAAGTCAAAAGACTACGGGAAAACCTGGCAGCCCTGGCAATACTTCTCCGATTCCGAGGCGGACTGCATCACTTATTTCGGTGTAGACAGTCACACCCCCATAACCCGAGACGACTCCGTAATCTGCACAACAGAGTACTCTAAAATCGTTCCCCTAGAGGGGGGAGAAATCCCGATTTCTATCTTGAATAACAGACCCTCAGCTTCCCATTACTTCAATTCCACTGTTTTGCAAGAATGGACACGAGCGACAAATGTGAGATTTCGTTTCCTGAGGACGAAAAATCTGTTGGGACATTTGATGTCAGTGGCGAGACAAGATCCCACTGTTACGCGGAGGGTACGTCTCAATTTTATAATTTCCAGAATTTTGAAACATAAAAACAATCGTCAATATTCTTGGAATTTGATGAAAAAATATGCTTAGTATTTAAAATTTTATGAAAAATCGGGTTTAAACTAAGTGTTTTATTAAAAAAATCAGTAATTCATATTTTTTATTCATTATTGTAGTTTAATTTAGGCTTTTGGTTGCAAAAAAAAATTTTAATCTTATTTTTTCAAAATAAAATTTTTAAAAATCGATAAATTACTCAACATTTGATGGAACAGAATGAAAAATTAATACGTAGCTCAATGTAATTTGAATATTACTGGGAAAGCAGCAATTATTTCCAAATTTTTATTATTTAATTTAGTTGGAATATTTGAGAATTGAAAAAATATTCAAAACTAGTCTGATGAATGAGACACTCTTTGTACAGTTTCCAAAATTAGAATAATATTCTATAATGTAAGGATTTGATGAAAAAAATAAATTTTGTGATCGAAATTCAATCCAAAATCGGGTTTAAACTCAGCATTTCATTTAAAACATCAATAATATTTTGGTTGCAAATAAAAATTAATCCTCAATTTTTCAAAAATAAAATATGAAAGAATCGACAAATTGTTCGACAATTGATAAAAACCAATAGTTAATTTTCCGCGCAAATTTAATTATTATACTAAAAAAAACGATTAAGCACAAACTCTTCAAATTTTTATTTTGAAAAAAATAATACTTTGGTCATTCCTTCATTTAATTGAAAAATTTGAGAATTAAAATCTCCAAAATAATAGTCCAGTGAATAAGAAACGTTTGTCCAGGACGGAGCTACGTAAATGCTTCGCCCGATTGACTCTTATCGGCTCCTCGTTTCTGTGGGTCTCTGTGGTTATACGATAAACTTAAGACCTCAAGAAATCACCACAGAGACTCGATAATGGAGCCATTGATAGCCTCGAAAAATATCTCACATTCGGACGGAGCATGGCCGCACGTCGAATGACCCAATTATAATTGCACGAACGTCTTTTTCAGTACTTCTACTCGATCAAAGATATCAGCATCGGCGGAAGATGCATGTGCAACGGACACGCAGACACTTGTGACATTCGCGATCCGAATCAACCGAATAAGCTGGAATGTATATGCCAGCATAATACGTATGGGCCGCAATGTGCCTCATGTCTTCCCGGATTTCAACAGAAGAAGTGGCGGCAGTCCACTGCATTCCATAAATTCGTGTGCGAACGTAGGTTCACAGAGAAAACAATCTACCCTATTCTGCCTACGCTGTTAAAAAAGTTTGGCTGAATTTTCCGAAAAAAGATCTTGAATTAATTTCAAAGGGAAAAAATCAATTTCAAGGTGCTCTGACAATTCAAGTAAAGTCCGATTTTTTCAGAGGCAGGGAGAAGAAAATTCCACAATTATAAATGAATCTTCAAGTGACAATGAATGTTCACTGTTAAATTCGCTTGAATTTTCAGAGAATTCCTTTAAAATTTTTGGAATTCCAGGAATTTTTAAGGAATTCCCTGAAAAATCAACAGAATCCGGAATTTAAGGATTTGCCTGAATTTTTCTGTTTCATTATCATTTTTTCCGCAATAATTAAACTAAAATTTACAGTTCCCATGAATTTTTCCATGAAAGTATGAATTTTCCGAAAAAAGATCTTGAATTAATTTCAAGGAGAAAAAATCAATGGGAAAAAGCTATTTCAAGTTGCTCTGACAATTCAAGTAAAGTCCAATTTTTTCAGAGGCAGGTAGAAGAAAATTCCACAATTATAAATGAATCTTCAAGTGACAATGAATGTTCACTGTTAAATTCGCTTGAATTTTCAGAGAATTCCTTTAAAATTCTTGGAATTCCAGGAATTTTTAAGGAATTCCCTGAACAATCAACAGAATCTAGAATTTAAGGATTTGCCTTAATTTTTTTCTTTCATTATCATTTTTTCCGCAATAATTAAACTAAAATTTACAGTTCCCATGAATTTTTCCATGAAAGTATGAGTTTTCAATGACAAAATTGCTTGAAATTTCAGTGGAAATGTTACTTGTTAAAAATTTTCTCGCGAAATTTTTAACAGTGCACTCGCATTTTAAAATAATTTTCATTCATTTCATCTCATTTATGTCTGCAAATTAATACATGTTATTATTTATGTAGGGGAGTTCCTGCTACATAATAAATAGAAATGAATAGTAATAATAATAATAAAAGTAAAGTAAATCAAGGTGGAAGAGCATGTCCAGTGAAAATAATGTTCGTTTGCGTCAACTGATGAATTTCAGAAGAAAATTCACACCGAATTTCGGCTGTCCACAAATTTTTCCCCAATTCAAATAAATTATTCTTTAATAGTTCCCAAAATTTGTGGACAATAGATAAAAAAATTGAATAAATGAATAAAATAAATCCCTGTACCAACGCGAGTTGATCCTAAATTCCACGGTTTCTCATTACAGCTTGCAATTGCTTCGGACACTCTAACGACTGTCTCTATAATTCCACGATTGACGAGCAGCGCTTGTCTCTGGACATTCACGGGCTCTACGAAGGAGGTGGTGAGTGCAAAAACTGCCAGGACAATACGGAGGGCATAAATTGCAACAAATGTAAACCGAAGTTCTACAGGCCACGTGGAAAGCCTCTGAATGCAACCGATGTTTGTCAACGTATGTACAATATCATATTTTCAACTCGAACAATCAATTTGAGATGATATAAAAACGATGAATTAAAAAATAGGTGAAATATTTTCGGTCACCAATCTATTTCGCCAAGACTAGACTTGGAAGTATTTCAAATTTATCTTTGCTTGAAAAATTTCTTTCTCAAAATCTTTTTCTATCTTATTTCTCAAAAAAACAATTTTTTCATCAATATAAATGAATTTTATATAACTTATATATATTATATATATATATTTAAATAGACAATATATATAACAAATTAAACTGACTGTAATAATTTTTTTAATTATTCAGCTAAAAAAATTTTGAAATGAGATCAAGAAGTAAATAAATGGATTAGAGAAAGAAATTTAAGGTATTTACATATCAATTGGAGAAAAGAATTTGACTTTTTGTACTCACCCTCTAGTAGCTGAAGAACAACATAATGCAGATGAATTGATGATGTTCGGTGCAATTCCTGAAAATCACTTCACTCCGCGGATGAAAAAATTTAATAGAAAAAGACAATAGAACTCGATTTTTCTTTACAACTTATTCTATTGAGATATTTCCCATAAGAAATTTACTCGCCTCAAATGTTCTAATTTTTTTTTTTCATTTTCTCGATGAGAAAAAAAGAAAAATAGAATAAAGAAAGCTTGAAAAATTTGAGCCGAGGCAATTTTATAATAAATATCTAAAAAGAATAAGTTAGGGGAGGGTGGGGCAAAACGGCCCCCCTTCAATTGTCAATAACTTGTGAATGACATTGTGAAAATTCCCAGTTTCAACTTCATTTTGAAGATAATTTTTCATTCTTCAAAACGAGCTCTAACTCATCCCAATCGGATCATTGAATCGGAAAATATTGACGATTGAAGGGGGGCCGTTTTGCCCCATCCTCCCCTATGTAGAAAAATCGAATTCAATTGATTTTTTCTGTTAAATATTTTCTATTGAACATTTCAGTAGCGAAGTGGTCAAGCGATTTAAGTCAATTAATCTTCAGTTGAGTTTTCCTGAAATATTCCCGAACTTAAGGGAGACAGCGAAATTTTCATAATAATCTTTTCCGTAGATCGAATCGAGTGCTACTAAAAAGTTAACGATAAAAAATTTGCCATCCCCCTTAGATTTCGACATATTAATTCAGTAGCGAAGCGGTAAACCGGGTTAAGTCGATTTTTACTATTGGCTAGTTTTTGACGAATATCTCGGAATCTAAAAGAGATAGAAAGATTTTTGTCATGACCTTTTTTGTAGAGCCAATAGAGCGTTATAAAAAAAGTCCTGAGAAAAATTTTGCTATCTCTCTTAGATTCCGAGATATTCAGCAAAAACTAGCTAATAGTCAAAATCGACTTAACTCGATTTACCGCTTCACTACTGAATTGAAACCCAACAGTTTTCCACGTTTGACCACGCTGCTGATTCCACGAGAATTTTCCACCGAATTCCCCGCTTCTTCCATCAAATTTTCTCGCGCGCGTGCCCCCACCTCTAACCCCTCCCCCGCCTGCTTGCAGCCTGCGACTGCGACCACTTCTACTCGACCGGCAACTGCGCGGAGTCCTCCGGCAAATGTGAATGCCGGAAGGAGTTCACCTCCCCAGACTGCGACTCGTGCGCGTACGGCTACTTCGGCTACCCAGACTGTCGTCGATGCGACTGTTACCTGGGTGGCACCGACGGCTACCACTGCGAAGCCATCGACGGTTACTGCCCCTGCAAGCCGAACTACGCCGGCCACTACTGCAAGCTCTGCGCCGAGGGTTACTACAACTTCCCCGAGTGCCTCCCCTGCGCCTGCAACCCGGTCGGCTCCTCCAACGACGTCTGCAACGTCCTGACGGGCAACTGCACCTGCAAGAACAACTTCCAGGGGCGGACCTGCGACGTCTGCGAGCACGGCTACTTCAACTACCCGCAGTGCAACTTCTGCAACTGCGACACGCGCGGCACGGAGGAGGGAATTTGCAACAAGGACGACGGAAAATGTCTCTGCCGAGAGGGTTACGGGGGTGCGCGCTGCGACCAATGCGTCACCGGCTACTACGGCTACCCGAGCTGCCGCCCCTGCAACTGCAGCACCGTCGGCTCCTCGTCGACGAGCTGCGACGCCTCGGGCAAGTGCTCCTGCCTCGGCAACTTCGCAGGACGGACCTGCAGCCAGTGCAGTCCCGGCTACTTCAACTACCCGGACTGCGTCAGCTGCAACTGCGACTCGCACGGCTCGATCGGCATCTCCTGCGACAACGACGGCAAGTGCCAGTGCCAGGAGAACTTCGACGGCGACCAGTGCAGCGCCTGCAAAGAAGGTTTCTACAACTTCCCGAGATGCGAGGGCTGCAACTGCGACCCCGCTGGCGTCGTCAAGTCCTTCATGGGCTGCGGCTCCCTCCCAGCCGGTGAACTCTGCCAATGCAAGTCCCAGGTGCAGGGGAGAATCTGCAACCAGTGCAAACCGATGTTCTGGAACCTCCAGCAGGGCAACCCCGAGGGCTGCGAGGACTGCAACTGCAACATTCCCGGCGTCATAGGCGGCATCGGCGAGTGCGACCCCAGAACGGGGCAGTGCATCTGCAAACCCGGAGTGACGAATCGCGCCTGTTCGCAGTGTGTCGATGGCACGTACAATCTCGAGGGGTCAAATCTGTTCGGCTGTTCAGTCTGCAACTGCGACATCGGGGGGTCGATCAGCTCGATCTGCGACAAGCAGTCGGGCCAGTGCGCCTGCCAGCCGCGGGTCACCGGGCTGACCTGCAAGGAGCCCCTGAAGGCCCACTACTTCCCGACGCTCCACCAGTTCCAGTATGAGGTCGAGGACGGAAGAACCCCGAGCAACAATGCCGTCCGGTACGGCTACGCCGAGGACAGCTTCCCCGGGTACAGCTGGAAGGGTTACGCCGTCTTCTCGGACCTCCAGGACGAGATAATCCAGCGGGTTCACATTCAGAAGTCCTCGCTCTACAGGATGGTCCTCAGGTTCGTGAACAAGAACAGCGAGGCCGTCCTCGGGGAGATAACCATCACCCCCGACAGCCCCTCGGAGATCGAGCAGAAATTCAAGGTGCAGTTCAGACCCGCTGATTACCCGGAGTTCGTCACGGTGGCTGGGGTTCACGGGAATCATCCAGCGGCGATGGTGATGAACCCCGGGTACTGGTCGATCAGCATCAGGACGGGGAAGAACCTGTTCTTGGACTACTTCGTCCTCCTGCCGGCTGAGTACTACGAGGCGACTCGCCTGACCCAAGACGTCGACGTCCCCTGCGAGATTGGGCAGACGGGGCTGTGCCGACACTACGGATATCCCTCCGTTGCGCAGTTCGACTCGGTGCGAGGGGCCGGAGGGTTCGTCAACGATAACGGAGTTAGGTTATCGCTGAACGAGTACTTCAGCGATCTGGATGTCCTCCAGGAGATGGGGCAGGACGAAATACCGATGATCAGTGACAGCCAGAAGGCCATTCACTTCGAACTCCGCGTGACCAAGCCTGGGGCGCACGTACTGCTGGTGACTTACGTCACCTACAGAGACGAGGAGTCGACTTCCGTTCTCAATATCGAAGCCAACACCGTGGGAAAGGGCAAGGTCACCCTCCACCCGTGCAAGTACACCAGCATCTGTCGCCAAGTGGTGACAGATCGTCTCGGCAAAGTCGCTGCCTACAGCTTCCCGACGAACTACGTCAGCATCGTACTGATTGGTGAGCCGGGCTCAAACGTGGCTATTGACTCTGTCGTGGCTATTCCGTACGAGCAATGGTCCCTCGACTACGTCAAGCCGAAATCAGTCTGCGTACGGAACAACGGAAAGTGCGTTCAAGGAATGTTCCCGGGGGCTGCTGACGCCAAGAAAGTCGAGTTCGAGACGACTAACGAAGCTCAGGATCTAGATCCACGTCCCACGGGGATCTACGACAGCGCCACCAAGCTGATATACCTCGGGGATAGCGAGGCGGTCGTCAATATTGAGACCAAAGTGCCGAGTCCAGGGGACTACGTCTTCGTGATCCAGTACTACCAGCCAGACCATCCTGAGTTCGAAGTGGACGTCCTCATCCAGAACGGCAAGTTCTACGAGGCCAAAGCCCCGGTGCCTCACTGTCCGAGTAACAGTGGCTGCAGGAGCATCATTCGCCAGCCGGACGGCAACTCCAAGTTCAATCTGATCGAGAATGTCGTCCTGACCTTCCAGAACCCGAGGAACAACATCTGGCTGGACTACATCCTGATTATCCCAGCTGAGCAGTACGACGAAAAGGTCCTCAAGAAGATTCAGTTCGACCAGACGAAGGAATTCCTGAAGCGCTGTGGAAACAACCACTTCTACATCAACACGACTGAGGAAGGCTTCTGCAGGGATTCGATCTTCTCGTTGACGGCGGACTACAACAGCGGAGCATTGAACTGTGGGTGCTCCCTCGAGGGAACCACGAGCTTCGAGTGCGAGAAATTCGGGGGTCAGTGCCCCTGCAAGCCGAACATCATAGGCCGCCGCTGTGACATCTGCAAGACAGGTTTCTTCGGCTACCCGAACTGCAGGCCCTGCAACTGCCCCAGTACAGCCCTTTGCGAACCGGAGACGGGCGAGTGCATCTGTCCGTCTAGAGTCACGGGCGAGCGCTGCGATCGCTGCGAAGAGGGCACCTACGGCTTCCACCCGATTATCGGATGTGAGGAGTGCAACTGCAGGCCCCACGGGGTCCTTAACGGCGATCTCCAGTGCGACCTCCTCAACGGCACCTGCAGGTGCAAGGAGAACGTCGTCGGCCGTCAGTGCGACAAATGCCGACCCGGCTACTCGCAATTCCCCTACTGCGAGAAATGCGACTGCGATCTCAGAGGAACAACAGCGGACGTCTGCGACCAGTTCACAGCGGAGTGCCACTGCAAGACGAATGTCCAGGGCTCCGCCTGTGACATTTGCGCGGAGGGCACCTTCAATCTGCAGCCAAACAACGAGGAAGGCTGCTCGAAGTGCTTCTGCTTTGGCAAGACGACTCGCTGCGTCTCAGCTAATCTCTACAGAAGTCACACCTTCGACATGGTCGACTGGGACATCGCGCTGGTTAACGACAAGACCGGCGAGGTTACGATACTGGAGGCAAGCCCTCAGGAGTACAACGATACCGACATCATCATCAATCTGACCCAGAATGAAACCTTCAACAACGTGATCTACTTCTCAGCCCCTGCAAGCTACCTCGGCAAAAGGTTGACGTCCTACGGAGGATTGCTGAACTACACGGTCCACTACAGCACCGGACCCTTCGGCAAAGCTGTCGCCGGTCCAGACGTCGTCCTCGTCGGGGCGGAGTCGGTCGTGTTCTACTACGGCGACGAGCAGCCCCCGTCGTTCACGAATTTCCACGCGTCGGTGGAGCTGATCGAGACGAATTTCTTCACGACGAAGAGTCAGCAGGTCTCCCGGGAGCAGTTGTTGGTTCTCCTGGAGAACCTCAAGGGGATATACATCAGGGGGACCTACTGGGAGGCGAGCATCAAAGCCTCTCTGTCGGACGTGACTCTAGACACGATCACCGACAGCTACAGTAAACACAGCGTTCTAGCCAATAGCGTTGAACAATGCCAGTGCCCCCCGAACTACCAGGGCCTCTCCTGCGAGGAGTGCGCCCCAGGATACTACCGCGTGGAGTCCGGGCCGTACGGGGGCTCCTGCGTCAAGTGCCAGTGCAACGGCCACGCCGAGATCTGTGACGTGAAGACTGGAGTCTGTCATGACTGCAAGAACGGCACCACTGGCGATCACTGTGAGCTCTGCGAGGAGGGCTACTACGGCAATGCCACGATGGGAACCCCCTCGGACTGCCTCATCTGCGCTTGCCCCCTTCCGATCCCCTCCAACAACTTCGCTACCAGCTGCGAGGTCAACGAGGCCGGCAACAAGATCAGCTGTAGCTGCTTCCCAGGGTACTACGGGGCCCGCTGCGAGTCCTGCGCTGCCGGATTCTACGGGGATCCGAACATCGAGGGGGACTTCTGCAAACCCTGCGAGTGCTCCGGGAACATAGACACCAACGAGGTTGGCTCGTGCGACTCGATCACCGGGGAGTGCCTCCACTGTCTGAACAACACGTACGGCGAGGCTTGTAATCTCTGCGCTCCTGGGTTCTACGGAGACGCTGTGGAACGGAAGAACTGCCAGAGCTGCAGCTGCACGCAGTGTGGAATGGACAAGTGCGACAGCTACACCGGACGTTGTCAATGCAAGCCGAACGTCATCGGAGATTCCTGCGACAGGTGTGCTGTGGATCATTACGGATTTGACTCCTGCAACGGATGCCAGGCCTGCAACTGCGGGCTCGCTTCGGAGGTGAGCCAGTGCGACGAGGCCACCGGACAATGCAAGTGTAAACCCGGAGTCACTGGGAGGCAGTGCGACAGGTGCATCGCCGGGTACTGGAATTATGGGGCTGAGGGGTGCAGCTCCTGCGGGTGTAACACCGGGTACTCCATCGGGGCATCGTGTGACACCGCCACTGGCCAGTGCTCTTGCCTGCCGGGGGTCATCGGGGAGAAGTGCGATCACTGCCCCTTCAGGTGGGTCCTCAAGGAGGGGGACGGCTGTTACCAGTGCGACTCTTGTATCCATGACCTGCTCGACGTCACCGACGAACTGCAGTCGATTCTGGCGCCCGTTGCTCAAGAGTTTAACACCGTCGCGGAGAGCTACTACACGAACCAGCGGTTGAAGTTCGTCAATGATACCGTCAATGAACTCTACCCGAAGGTGCGTCTCCTAGACCCCGGCAGGATCAACTTGACTCCGGTGCAGCAGGAGATCGCGCGTCTCGATCAGGACGTGTCGAATCAGAAGCGGACAGTGGAGTACGCGGCCGAGACCAGCAAGCATTGGAAGGATGGGGCTGAGAACACCCTGAACGACATGAACGCCTTGGAGTCCGACGTCAAGAAGGAGATCCGCTTGGTTAATAAAATCATATCGGAAGTTCAAGCCCTCGCCACGAACATTGCCTCGGGGGATGGGGCGAAGATAGACAGTGCGTTGAAGGAAGCTCAGGAAATCTTGGCCAGAATCCAGGGCGTCTCGTTCATCGACTTCCGGGACAAGGCGACTGATCAATCCATCAACGCGAATGTCCTGGTGTCCGAGATGATGGAGTACAACATGCCAGTGAGTGATTTGAGCTCGTCGACGGCATCACTGGGTGTTAAACTACGGAGTTTCGGAAACAAGCTTGACGACTTCATCGACAACGCGGATAAAGCGGATGAGTTTGCGCGTTTAGCGAGGACATTTATCGACGAGAGTAAGAGGGTCACTGAACTGGGGAACTTCGATATGATTAGAAACTCTACAGCGGAGACTGAGGACGATGTCTCGGCTGGAGACAGACTGAATCGAAATGCGACTGAGATCCTGGCTGACGCTGTTGTGACGTTTGAATCTCTGGATGACCTGGCGAGAAGACAGGACGAGGCTTTCTCGAGGCTCACTGAGACCCTCGACCACAACGACGATGGCCTCTACGACATTCTGGACACCGTGCAGAGGGCGACGGATCACGCTGAGGACCTCCACAGGCTATCCCTGGAGTTGGACGACGTTCTCACTGGGACCAGGAACACCAGCGCGGTGAGAGCAGTGTCTGCCTACAGGGACATCGAGACAGCTATTCAGGTGGCGAAGGAGGCTGCCAACGAGGCCGTCGAAGCGGCCAACAACGCGACCAATCTGTCAACTGGAATCGGCGCCAGATCCAGGGACGCTTATGACAAGTCCCGCGAGCTCAATCTATCTGCGGAGGAGGCTTTAGCCAAGACGGAGGGAAAACTCGAGGAGGACCTCGATCAAGCGAAGCAAGACGCCAACGTATTGTCCCGGACCAACCGAAGAAACGAGGAGACTCTCGACAGAATCAACTCAACCCTGAGCAATCTCCAGGTGCCCACGGATTCTCTGATTGAAGATGCCACGCGAGAAGCTGAGGGGATCGAGGATCTGATCCAACGGGTTCAAGACCACATGAAGGACGTGGTGGGACGGGTGCCAGACGACCTCCAGAAAACTAAGAACTTATCCAAAGACACGTCGGACTCGATTCGCGACATCTCCCAGGCGAAGAAGCAGTTGGATTCTGTCAGCAAGGTCGTCCCCGACATGTCCGATCTCCTGAACAGACTCGGAGAGAAGCAGAGAGCGATGGACAAAGCTGGGAGTGACTTGAAGGGGAAGATTGAAGCTCTCAAAATGAAGATAGCTAACGCCAGAGAGTTGGCTGATAGATTCAAGACAGGATTAACTTTCTACAGGAACACGACATTGGAGCTGAAGAACCCGGAGAGCCTTCCCCTCCTGGCAACCTCCACAAAGCTTTCGGTGTACTTCAAGACGAATAAGACGAATGGATTCCTGCTGTACCTCGGAAACGAGGCTCGTCCCACCACACCCCGTCAGAAGACTCACGACTTCCTCGCTCTGATGATCGAGTCTGGGTACCCTGTCCTGGTGATCGACCTCGGTTCAGGCCCCGTCAAGATAGTGAACAACAAATTCGTCTCGGACAACGTCTGGCGGCAGATAATCGTCGACAGAACCGGGAAGAACGTCAAGCTGATCGTGAGAGAAGACGTCGGGGGTATCGAGAAGTACCAGGAATTCGTCGAGGAGCAGGTGCTCAACGGCACCTACTCGATCTTCGATCTGGACCAGAAGACCTCGAAACTCTTCGTCGGGGGTTACGACTCGTCCTTCCAAATGCAAGACGCGGTGACAGCCTCCTCCTTCGAGGGTGAAATGGAGGATCTCGTCGTTGGAGACGTGCCCGTCTCCTTCTGGAACTTCAAGAAAGGCGAGAACAACCGGCAGGTCGCGATGGAGCGGGACAAACTCGTGGACTTCACCCCCGCGACTGGATATCGTTTTGACAGGAACGGCTACGCGATCATCGGAATGAAGAACTCGAACATCCGTTACGACTCGCAGAAGTCCGGGATCAAGATGCAGTTCAAGACCCTGAGCGAGGATGGACTGATGTTCCTCATGGGCAAAGGAAAGCACTTCTTCGCGTTGGAGATGAAGAATGGCCGGATCCTCTACCAATTTAACCTGGGCGACGGTACGGTATCGCTGATGTCCCCCAATAAGTACAACGACGGCCAGTGGCACGTGGTGGAGGCCAGGAGACTGGGTGGCGCTGGAGCCCTGGATGTCGACGGTGTTCATGCCGGTCAGAACGCGAGTGAAGGTGACATGAAGGTCCTGGCATCCACGGACCACGTGTACGTGGGAGGCTACCCCCCTCACATCCGCCATCAGCACAGATCTGTCTCAAACGTCGGCTTCGAGGGCTGCATCGACCAACTTTCCATCCTGGATACCCCAGTGGATCTGACCAAGAACCTGCAGGCGTTCGGTGTGATGCCCGGTTGTCCCACAAGGTTCGCAAGCCTAGTCTCCTTCGAGGAGGACGCGCCCGGGTACGTGCGGTGGTCCAACCTCTCAGCGGACGCCGCCCTCCAGATAAACCTCAAATTCAAAACCCTCGCGAGGGACGCCATCATCTTCTACGCGACGAACCCAGAGCAGACGACAAGCAGCGTCCTGAGACTGACAGACGGAGTGTTGACGTTCAGAAGTCACGGCGACGAGATCCGAAGTAGTCAAGCTGGCAACAAGTTCAACGACAACGAGTGGCACGTGGTGACGGCCACCCACGACCCCGAGGCCCTTCGACTGGACATCGATGACGCCGAGAATTACCAGTCTACGCAGTACCCGCCGCCCCTCAACATCAAATACGGCAATCTATATATCGGGGGGATTCCCAACGCTGAGAGGGACTCGTTCATTGGCTGCATAGGTGACGCCACCGTCAACGGCGGGATTATAAACTTCGCTAACACGAAGGAGCGGCCGAATGCGCTGTTGGACAAGTGTCTCGGGGGTGAGGGCTCGTCGGCGACGGTCACAGAACGACAGCCGGCTGTCTGGCCACCACCTCTGATTACCGATGTAGACGCTATTACCATGGCCAATACCGAGGCGAATATTGTTCACGTGGAGATCGATCACACTGTGGAGCCCGAGAGGGAGGGCGAGGGCCGAGTGACGATTCCCCCACCCACCGAGGAAGACCTGGAGGTCATACCCACGAGACCTCCGGAGTCTGATCAGTGCAGGCTCCCGTACGTACCGGAGAGCGATCCTGACAGCGAGAATGCCTTGAGGTTCGGCACAGCCAAGAACAGCAGGCTTGAGTACAGGTCCCTCAGCGGAACCTACAGGGATGCCTACGACTTCCAGATCGACCTCAAGACCATGGCTGACGAGGGCATCGTCTTCTACGCCTCGGAGCTGACGAGGAAGAGTTTCATCGCCGTTTACGTTATGAATGGGAGGGTTCATCACACTTTTGATTGCAGCACCGGCCCCGCGCTGCTACAGAGCGATGTCAAGATCAATGACAATCAGTGGCACACGATTGTCTTCAAGAGGAGAAATAACTTTGGGGAGCTGATTGTTGACGATCAGCCCCCTGTTGCTGGGTACTCCCACGGGGAGGTCCAGACTTTGCATGTTCATCCGCCGTTTTATGTGGGAGGGGTGCTTCCCGAACTGGCGGCTAGTGTTCACGAACAGATTGTAAGTTGGGGGTAATTGGGGTGATGGGGTGGGCCTTGAGGGGAGTGGCATTCATTGAATTTGTGTTATTAGGGAATCAATAAGACATTCAGTGGGTGCCTGGGCAACTTTATGATGAATGGACAGTCACTGGGAGATCCTGAGGAGAGGGTTGGGGTCATTCGGTGCTCCAAACGCGTGGAGCCGGGATTGTTCTTCTATCCTGGCAATGGCAGCAATTTATTCAGAGCACGTACGTGAAATAACAGTAATTGCAAATGCATCGTCGTTTACATTTTGAATTAGTCAATTGGTTAATATGACTCGACAATTTCTTAATTATTAAATTAATCATCAATTAAATATTCAAATTCCGAATAATTTTATCTATTGATAATTGAATTCGGAGGATTAACGATTATTTAGCTAATCGAGAATCGTTTTATGAAATTTGGATTTATTCCCGCAATAGTCAACTGAAAATTTGGAATATCAAGTGTTTTATCATTTTTCAAATTTTAATGAAAATAAGTAAACTTTAATAATTTTAAGGTGCCACTTCTTTTAATATTAATAATCTAATTGATGCCGATTCCTGTTAGGGAATGAATTATCAGTTTTCAAAATGTTTCAGTGGATAAGTTCACTGTTGGGAGGACAATTGATATCCAGATGGACATAAAACCGAGGACCACAAGTGGTCATTTATTATCAATCCATGGTAAACGCGATTTTATTCTCCTGGAAATGGTGAATGGCACCATCAAGTTCCTGGTGAAAACTGGAAAGGGAAGTATCGAGACTTCGTTCGATCCGACGACTCCACATTCTCTGTGCGACGGTCATTGGCATAACATCAGAGGTAATGATCGGGCAATATTTGTGAAAAAATTTAACAGAGAAGCCAAGCTTTTTATTAAGCTTCATATGCATTCACATGCATTTATTCCATTGGGATCTCTCCTGTAAAAATTCTTGGGCATGAATTTTCCCAGTTTTTTCACGTATTTTGTAATCACAATAATTTACGTAGAAAAATCAAAATCTATTCATTTTTTTCCATCGAAAATGCATCAAAAACTAATAGTTTTTTTTTAAGTGCTTGTTTCCTTCATTCAATTCTTTCATACGTCGTTTTAATATCTTGTAGCCGTGAAGCAGAGGAATGCGGTGCTCCTCTCGGTGGACCACGCAGCAGCTCCGCCTGGCATAGGGGCGAAGAACACAGCGGGGGTGCTGTCGAAACACCCCATATTCATCGGAGGCCATCCACTTCTGGGCAAACGACTGCGTGGCAGCACCTCGCATGCCCAGTACGTTGGTTGCATCAGAAATATCATTATAAATAATCAGGATATTCCACTCAATCCAGAGCGGACTTATGGGCACGTTATCACTGGTGTTTGTCCCACCATTTAAAATTCTATTTTATACTGCAGAGAGGAATAAAAATTACTATCCTAGCCATTTTTATTCTTACTATTGTACTGTGGGAAATAATCTTATTTCACACTGTCAGAACTGTTTCTTCAAAAATTAACTCCTCACGACAACAAAAACAACGACGTGTCATTTTTTGTAATTAATTTCACGATGATAAACACTCAGTGTAATTTACCGTTTAATTTTTAATAGTTGTTTGATTGAAAAAATCAATAAATGTTCGTATATGTGTAGAATTTTTTCTTTGCTATTTTTTCTGTAGAAAATTTCTAGGCATGAAAGTGGAAAATTTATATCTATGAATTTTCATAGAACAAATGTGAAGAGAATAACTCATGTGATAAATCAATCCACATTTTTCATCAAATAGTAGTTTTGTAATCAATTTTTATGTGCGTTATCAATAGTTGTGAAGAGCTACTTCTTGAAGGTGAATTGGAATAAATTATGTAAGAAGAACTGTATAAAATTTTTAAACACAAAACAAATGGAAAACTTTTTCAAGAATAAATCATGAAATCACTCGATTTCAACTCATTCATCTCTCTTTTATTATTTTGTATTTAAAAAAAAGTAAATTACATTATAAAAACACAACATTCTGGGGTGATCCAAAAATGGAGGACACTGAATTTAAGGAGAGGGCCAGAAATCATACTGTAAGTATTAAAACCTTACGAACTAATATCGAGTTAAGCGCAAGTAATGACACAGCAAGTACAGCCGAATAATCATTAAAAAACATGTAAATACCGAGAGACGTAAAGAACATTAGTTCCAGAGAAATTAATCACGATTATCTCTTCTCAACGTTGATTTTAAAACTGGCGTGTACATTGTATTACTCGTCGCAAGTAATTATCATTGTGACAATAGAAAGTTGAGTGTATCACAGTCTTAGTTATTTAAAATAATTAAACGTGTGGAATTTTATCGTTTTTACACAAAAAGTCTCGACATCGTCATATGAGGCTCTCGTTATTTTTCGTTCATGCGATAGATCGAGCTTTCACGCATGACATAATCCCTAGGAAATTCTATTCTTCGTTTGTAGATTTTTAACAGAAAATCAGTAGCTTTGCCATTCGGTTTTTATATGCGATAAGGAAATTCTATGAATTTCGATTGTTTCATACAATTTGTTTTATTCAGTTTTCATCTATGTGAATCTTTGGGTAGAATTTTGCAATTTGAAACAAAGAAAGAAATTTTGAATTAAATTTTCTAGTAAAAACCGCAAGGAAAAACTACTAAATATTTCTCCTAGCAAATTGGCAAAAACAATCAATTTTAAGCATTTCTCGAGTTTTTGTTCATTTTTCTTCTTTTTTCTCATCACAAATTTTGAAATTCGCGATGAAGAAACCAATTTTCAATTAAAGTTTGGACATTTCCATAGCATAATCCAAATCTATTGATCTTGTCTATCACATATTTTATATGAATAATCATATGAAAACCGCAAGAAAAAACTACTGAATATTTCTCCCAACAAATTAACAAAAAACAATAAATTTTAGACAGAATCTCTCGAGTTTTCTATACGTTTCATCCCCCAATGGCATGTAAAATCATACTGCCCGCAATGTAAATTTCCCATTCATAATATTTAACTCACAGGTATCTCGAAGTAGTGACTACAAATGCCGAATGTTCTGTGCCCATTTTTCACTCAATACCGTGGGCAAAAATCATAACGAGCCCGGGCTCCACCATCATATCCTCAGGCATGTGGGCATTGTCGCAGTAGAGTACAAGGACTGCTTGTTTACCAGGCACACGTTTGCAAACGTAATTCTCGTACTGTCTTCGTGAATTCTGTCGTGTTTCGAGGGAATTCAAGCCTGGTGGCCATTTCCTCTCGTGACAGTTCTCCATCAGCTCGTCGATAACGTGGGGAGGGCAGTTGTACTCTGATAACGTTCTCTTGATCATCGTCTGGGGGAAAATTAAAATATATCCATCGTAAAATGAAATTTTTTAGTTTTTTTGGGGAACTTATTTCGAAGGGATTTTTTATATAAGAAATGGGCTTGAATTTTCCTATTTTATTTCTTCAATTTTGTAATGATAAATAAAAAAATATGATAAAAGAATTTATGTTCATCAATATTATATAAGAGATTCTGAAGAGACTAGTGCATACTGAAGAATTAAAATCTATCGAGGTTTTTAATCCATAGAATTCGATAGCGCATTCACGAGACAATTCTATTGAATTTCGATAGAATTTTTTATTAGTTTTTGGTGGATTCTATTGACATATTTTTATAGAATTTCCTCGGCTCAAATTTTCTAAGCTTTTTCATTCTAGTTTTGCTTTCTTTTCATCAAGAAAATCAGACAAAAAAACTTGGAAAATTTGGACCGAGAAAATTCTATAGAAAGAATTTTTTTTTATTGAAGCCTATACTTATACATGTTTTTTTTTAAATTTGGATGTGTAGGGGAGTCTGGGGTAAAACGGACACTTTTGACTTTTTTAAAAATCTTAATGAGGCGTTGAAATGTTGATAAAATTTAATAATTTTTTTTTCAATACAAAGAACAACTCTTTCTCTCTGTGACGAGCCTAAACTGAGCTCAATTGATAAATCTGTTTCTGAGTTATAAATAATTTTAAAAAAGTCCAAAGTGTCCATTTTACCCCACCCACCCCTAGATATAACAACTTCCAAATTCTTAAGTCTAATTGTATTCTCAGTTCACAAAGGAACTTCTCTAAGGAACTTGTCAATGAATTTCATAACTATTGGATTCAGAATACACACAATGTGGGACGAGATATTAGGAAATTAACAATGTTTCGCAATTTCTTCTTGTTTCACCTTTATTATATTAATATTGCTGATATTGACCACACAATGCCCCGTGGAAGAGGAGCTGTATTAATAATAGAACCTTCAATAGAAATCCACCAGAACTCCAAGTTTTTCTATTAAATTTTGTCATAAGTGTTGTTTCATCGTCTTCAAAAAATAGTGTCCTACCTGTAACAATTCATCAGGTGTGGATATCATGCCCCCCCACCTGGTGACCCTAGCCCTGGGAAGTGTCGAGGACCATCTGACAACCTCATCCCTCTCCATCTGATCAGCAATAGCCCTCATGGCTGGATTGGAGACCCTCATGGCGCGCATAAAATCCTTCAACAAATTGATCTCCCTCCTCTGCTCATTGATCTGAAACTGCTGCTCCCCGAGCTCCCTCTTCATATCACTGAGCTTCTGATGCTGCGACTGTATCAAACTCCTCAGCTCCCTCACGCAGTTGTGATCCTTCAACTCGTCCTTCGGGATTATGAGGTTGCAGCCCTGCTCGCATGGCACCGGCCTCTTCGGATTGAACTCACACTCGTCCAGGTGACTGACCAGACTGTCGAGTTTGATTACCGCTTGGCAACCGTACCTCATGTTATCACAGTTGATGCAGAGCCGTGCCAGGAGATTACGCAGTATTCGGGGCACTGGTCGCAGTTGGGCCGATGTTATTGGGGTTCTGTCGAGGGGACACGTGGGCTGACGATTGATCCACTCGTTGATGCACAGTCGGCAGAATGCGTGCTCACATACCTGAGCCTGCAACACATCACTCATCTATTGCTATTCAGAAACTGCACTAGACGCACGATAAAATGTTGGGGAAAAAACTTGCGATTTCGATGGAAAATTCTACTGCATTTTTGTTGGAGTTATTGTGAAAATTATTCTAATTTTTAATGATTTTATGGAAGATTTTTTCCGCAGGTTCACTGCGTTTTGTACGGAACATGTCCAACAGAAACTGTTTCGTAGAAATAATCAGTATTATTTCATATTTTACAACTTTTCTGAGTTATTTTCTATAAAAATTCCTCGACATGAATGTTTTTAGTTTTTCCATTCTTTTTTTTCTTTCACTGAAAAAAGGGAATAAAAAACGGGTAATTGGGGCTGAGGAGTTTCTATAGAAAATATCTCTATAGAATAATTTGTGGAGAAAAATCGAATTCTATCGATCTTTTCCAACTTTTCTGAATCATTTTCTATAAAAATTCCTCGACATGAATATTTTTAGTTTTTCCATTCTTTTTTTTCGTTCACTGAAAAAAGGGAATAAAAAACGGGTAATTGGAGCTGAGGAATTTCTACAGAAAATATCTCAATAGAGTAATTTGTGGAGAAAAATCGAATTCTATCGATGTTTTCTGTTGAAGAGAAACCCATGCGCTGCGGTAATTGGCCAAAAGCTGATAGAAAGTTGATTAGGAAATCAATAGAATTTTCTAGTTAAATCGCTAGCTTTTTCTCCGCAATTTTTCGTACGTGTAAATCTGTGGGTGTTCTCGGAAAAAGAAGTGTTAGAATGAGATCGTCAAATGAATTTTATTTATTGAATTGGGTAAGAAATAATATAATTGAGTTAATAATACTGGATACTTATTTCCCCATTTTGAAAAATCATCCAAGATCGCAATCAATTAATTAATTAACCAATTTCATTCGCCCTTTTAAATCCAAGTTTGAAGATTGATGACATTACATTGCTTTTTTTCTAACATCACAAGTAAGAAAAACTTTCACAAAAAACCTGGCGGATTCGCTAGACAATTCTATTGGACAAAGAATTCTAGCGCAAAGATTCAATTTTTTATACAACTTATTCTATTGAGATATCTCCTATAGAATTTTCTCGGCTCAAATTTGAAGTTTTTTGTTTGATTTTTTTAATGAAAATTCAAAATAAAATAGAATGAAAAAAACTTGGAAACTTTGAATCGAGGAAATTCCACAGAAAATATCTCAAGAGAATAAGTTGTATAGACAAATGAAATTCTATTGACTTTTTCATTTAATATTTATTATTGAAAATTGCAATAGAAAGTTCAACAGAAATCCAACAGAATTTTCTATTCAAATTCATTAGATTTTTCTATTAATTTTTTTCGTGCAAGTTGGGGTGTGTTTTCTCCATAAATAAATAATAATATATCCACTGGCCTAAAACGAGAATGATTTAAAAAAAAGTACCTGTACAGGATCTTCGAGCACTCCAGAGCAAATTGGACAGATGAGTTCCTCATCAACTTCCCCCTGGAATCTATTCACATCGAATCCCATATTATCTTCAGCTGTTGACGCACGTATTATTTACAACTCCAAAATCACCACAGAAAGTATTTATCACGAAAAATTCACAGAACGTCTCGAGGAATCATCTCCGTTCATTGACGCAGTGTTATTAACACCCCATCGATAATGAAAATTGCACTTGTGTAGTAGAGCACATGCTCCATGAGATCACAAGAGGTTCATCGTCCCAATTTCAAGAGCGTCGATAGCACCTCGGAGACACAAGTCTGGAAATACCGGTAGGTAGACGGTAATGACGTTTTTTTGGTGTTCTCGGTAGACTCTGAACCCTCTGGACAGTCACAAAAACTCGACACCACATGTAAGGGCTTGAGATTTCAGTTTGTCGAGATGAGTTTCAGGGAGACTGCAATATTTTCGTCGTAAAAATAAAGTAGAGAAATTATTGCACTTTTGCGTTCGCTTTCGCAGTTGAGGGGATTGAAGTAACGGGTTTATCACTTTCTTGGGATTGACTCCAATCAACTTCAACGAATCTCTGACTGTCCATATGAGGAATGAGAGAGGAGGTGTGTGCAGACACTGCGCCATCTTGTGTTGGATCGAAGCGCGTGCTGACTTTTTGATTGTTTCGAATGAGATCCGATTAATTAGCCCCTCAAGTATAGATATTCAAAATTTTTATTTTTTTCCTCATTGAAGTAGTTTTGAAAAAAACTGCGAGCTGATAAAAAACATTTGCTAGTTAGTACTTTTTTTTTAATGAATTTTTGAAAAATCACCTCTGCAAAAAAAAGGCGTTATCCCCTTTATTTAATTATTTCCAAAAAATTTTATCACCAATCGATAGCAAATTGTTTGAAGATTTTTGCGAGTGTTCTCGATTGGTGATAAAATTTTTTGGTAATAATGAAATAGGGGGGATAACGCCTTTTTTTCAGGGGTGATTTTTCAAAAATTTATTTTAAAAAAAGTACTAACTGGCAAATGTTTTTTATTAGCTCGCAATTTTCTTCAAAACTACTTCAATGAGGAAAAAAATTAAAATTTGGAATATCTATACATGAGGGGCTAATTGATCGGATCTTTCGAATGAACTTAGGAGATTATCACGTATGAAAAAATCGTATAGAAATTTTCTATACGGATTGCGTATAGAATTTCTACAGGATTTTCGTACGTGACATTCGGATATTTCTATACAGATATTTTTTATACAAATTATTTCTATACAATTTCTATAAGTTTGATTCTATGCGATCCACTGTCACGTGTATAGAAACATTTCGTATGGAGTTGCGACATTTCTCTACGTTTTTCTCTGGAGCGTTTAGACATCTTTCGTATGAAAACAACAATTTGTGTATAGAAATAATTCGTAGGGGAGGGTGGGGTAAAACGCACACTTTAAACTTTTTAAAATTATTCATAACTCAGAAACAAATTGATCAATTGAGCTCAGTTTAGGCTCCTGACAAAGGAAAAGAATTGTTCTTTGTATCGAAAACAAAACATTTCAACCCCTCATTAGCATTAAAAAAAAGTCAAGTGTCCGTTTTACCCCAACCTCGTGACCCTTAGGAAAATATTCGTATAGAAATATCCGAATATCATATACGGAAATCCTATGGAATTTCTATACCCAATCCATATAGAAAAAATCTATTCGATTTTTTCATACGTGATTCGAATTTGCATTTACTCATGACTTCCATTTCTTTTTTGATAAACGAAATTTATAGTTGATTTCATTTTTGATTGCTGAAATTGCTGAACACTGCGAAATGACCTAGGCAAATAGCAGAAATCTGAATATTAAATTTTTTCTTTGGGCAAATTTACCTCCGGAGAAAATAAAAATATTTCGATCTGGAATGTATAAAACACATACATCTTTATTTCGTCAATTCTATCCAAAATCCAATGAAAAAATCCAAATAGTATAAAATTACCTATTTTCGTATAAAAAACATAGCATATGTACACTTTTGACATCAAAAGAATTTTGAATTCTCAATCAAGAAGCATCCACAGCTGCAAAGGTGATGTGAAGAGATTCAGAAAACATTAAAAAATATAATCATATTGTATATATTACTTCAGAATAAAAAAAACAACTAAAAAATAAGGTAAAATGCTGTTTGGACGGTAAATGTTTCTCCGAGATTCGTTTTTGTACATGACTAACTAGAGATATAAAATTATCTGAAAGGGATGAAAAAAAAAAATACAAACAAAAAAGTAGTACAGAGAGTGAATGAAAAATTATTTTGACTTCACTCTCGATGCTCCTAGACATCTAACTTACGCATTAAACTCCCTTTCTGGTACGCAATGTTAATGAACACAAGCGAAACAAATATATAATCCATAAATTTCCCATAAGTGAAGCAAAATAGGCCCTTTACTTTCTTCAAATATTAACAACTCATTTACTTGTTAATAAAAGGGAATATTTTCTTTTCCCCAGGCTAAGCTCAATTGAGAAATTTCTCCGCGAGTTATGAACATTGAAAAAAGAGTCACAGCTATCCATTTTGCCCCACCCCTCCCTATCCATTAGCCAAATGTTGAAACAAGATGGGACTCATCTCTTCTCACCACTTTCCCACTGACACAAATATCAAAGAACTCTAGAACGAAAAATAAAAAAAAAACTCATGCGATTAGCATCGCACAGGGAATTATCCTACTCTCTAATTACCTCACTAATCAAATGATACGATATGAATTCAGTAATTTCACCATCTAACTTCGGTGAGCGGTCATTTAATCCTGATGAACAAGTCCTAGACAAAATAATCCCACTTGAAGAATAGTCCCTTTTTCAAAACCAATTTCCACTCCAAATTTGATTAATTTGGCTAATTGTGTTGTAAAGAAAAATTAACATCCATAGATTACTTTCTACAAAAAAATATCCAATGACAAAACCCCGTCAAACTTGCATGATATATCATCAAAAATTCAGTAGAACGTCACAGAGAAAGTCTTTTCTATTAAATTTTTCAATACGCATCGATCAAAAATTGCCCACAGTGGTGAAAATTTTTCATCGGCCATTTTCCACAAAAAACTCGCAGTAAATCTGCGGAATTTAGCAATAAAATCGTCCAAAAACTGTTAAAAAGCCCAATAGAAATCCAATCCAATTTTCTCTCAAATTGGCAGGACTGTTTCGACGGCATTCCAACCAGAATTCATTTATTGAGTACCTAACTCCCAAGATTAAATGACCAGTGCCCGAAAATCCCTGGGAATCCCCTAGATAAACCACTCCCTCTTTTTTTGTACTTGATGTCCCGTAGTGGATTGTATAACCGCCGAGTCCGGATCGAGTGCCTGTTCAGCGCCCTTGTCCTCCTGCGTGAGATACTCCCCCTTGTGCCTGGACATGTACCTCCCAATGAGAACAGCCATGATGATGAGAGCAATGAGTATAACAGCAAGAACACTCCCCAGCACAGCAGTATCCGTTTCGTTGTAAGCAGCCCTGACCTTCTCGCTATCAACGACTGGTGGTGGTCGAGTCTCCACGATATTCGGTGGATGAGTGACGGGTTCAACCCCACAAAAGTCATCGACCAAGGGTCCCCCTATTGACCTGACATTGTCCGGGCTGTCCTGCTGGAAAAGCAGCTTCAGCGGATAAATATCATCGAACTCAACCCTCGAAATGCACCCAACAAAGCCATCAGTCATCGACTCATTCTTCCCAATATACATATACTGTATATTATTGAACTGAGCATCAGCAGAGGCCTTGATATTGAAATGAAACTCCTTGGGCTCGAGATTATCAACCTGAAGAACCAAAGTCGAGCCCTCGTTCTTCCTCGACAGATGCAAATCGTGATACTGCCCATAGGCAAAATACTTATCAGGGAAAATGATCTCCTGTCTCTCAAACCCAAAGTCGAACACAACTCTCAAATGCCCACTGTTGGACACAAGAATCGACAGATATTCCCCTGAGATATTCGAAGAAAGCCCCAAGAGGAAGCCCTTCCCACCGCTGGTGGTGGTGAACCCAATCCTGATATTCTCAGCAATAGTAGACCTCCAGCTGCCCTTGAAATCGTACCTGATCATGTTCTCAGAGGCCAAGTTGACCCCAATCTCATCAGCGCAGATGGGTCCCTTGAACGAGGTGAAACGACAGTCACAGCTGTAGCCGTCGTACCTCTCATGGCAAGTTCCATTATTCAAGCAGGGATAACTCTGGCATTTGCCAGTGCAGCCCTCGCTGACCCCATAGAGACCCCTCCTCGCGTGCTCCCTCAAGTCCTGGAGTTTTCCATTGAGCAGCAGTGCCCTGACACACCCAACAAATCCATCGCGATACTGAGTGGTGGCTCCAACAACGAGTTCAGAGGTGAGATGAAGAGCCCTGACAGGTCCTGGTGGCTCTCTGAACTCGTTCTTAAGAGCCCCATCGAGAACAATCCTCGCTTCCTTACGATTTCTCTCGACGAGAACCGAGTGCCAGTTGTTGTCAGTCAGCATGTACGACGTCTGGACACTGACAGTCTGCGGTCCATCCCCAGCTTGATACTGAAACTGTATCTGATTGCCAGTTGCTATCGACACTTTGATGTAGTCCGAGGGCCCAGTGCTGTGAATGATGACAGCATCAGGAATAGTAGTCTTGAATTCAAAGTAAATGTCACCACTGTGTCCCATGTCGAACGTAGGTAAATTAATCGTGGCGTCAACAATCCTGAAGGTCACAACATTCTTGAACAAGTCATCGCCCTCGCATATGAGAGAGCCGAGAGTGTACCTCCCCTCCTTCTCATCGAGAGGTGTTCCAGTGTCTCCAAACCTCAGCTGACGAACGGGCAGATACTCCTTCTCAGTGATGTCCCCGCCGTCCTCGTGCCAGCCCTCGTATCCAGAATCACAATTGCACCACTTGGTGGGGTCAACACAACTCCCCAAGACCCCACACTCGCACTTCATGGAGCCTGGCAGGGCTCCACCCCAGTAGTCCATCCTCTTGTTGCCCCTGCTGACCCACCAGGAGTTCGGCCTGAAGACGTCCCCCTGGTGGACAGGTGTGTTGAAGAGTCTGGAGTGCTTGCAGGCGTAGTTGATCCTCTGTCTGCAGCTGATGGATCTGTTCAGCAGGGCCTCGATCTGATCGTAATTGGCGTCGTAGTTGATGTCCTGGACGAAGCTCCCGGGCTCCTCGAAGCCGTCCACAGGGGTGGCGAGCTCGTTGCTGTGACGAATGACAGTCATCACTCGTCCATCAGCGTAGAACTCGCAGGTCACTGGGAAGGGATCCAGGGGGCCACTTCCATCGACGTCTATCTCGATCTCTGCCCTCTGATTCACAGAGTGAATGTTCTTGTAGGCCTCGCAGGACAGGGCGTTGATGGAGGTGTGGCAGACAGCCCCGGAGTAACCGGTGTTTGTGCAGTCGCAGATGAACTCTGTGGATGTCTGTCTGCAGATGCCGTTGTGCTTGCAGGGATTGGGGTTGCAGCGGTCCAGCATCTGGCAGGAGTCCAGGACTATGCCCTCGCCTATGTACTCCTCGCCCTCTTTCCAGTCCGTTGGCGGCTTGTAGTTGCCGTCGACGCTTATCATTCTCATGCAACCCACGAATCCTAGGTTCTTGCCGGTTCCTAGCAGCCCTCCGCCCACTAGGTACAGACCCCCTGTCGACATCTCCAGCAGGCGCTTTGTTCGCATCGGGCGACCGTCCACTTTCAGGATTATACTGTTCTTGGAGATTGTCAGGACTGTTGGGTGCCACTTGCCGTCGTTGAATCGCTCGTCGAAGTTGTCCAGGATCACGCGGGAGTTGCCTTTTGTCTCGATCTCAACTTTTATCTTTCCCTCCTCCAAGAAGACCTGGAATGGGGTTTTATTTTTAACGGGCTGTTCGATTTTTTGTAAAGTTGAGGAGATATTTTGATGGGAACATTGGGGATGTATTCCATCGGGGAGGTGGACTTTTGAAAAACTTTGTTTGAATCTTGTGGTATAGTTTTTGGATATTTTTGTGAGAGATACTTGTGGGTGAGAGATACACTGACATTTTAAGGGATTTAGGTAGTAAGATTCACGATTAATGGATAAATCAAGGGATCAATTAGTGGAATTTAGATAAATTCGGGGTAACATTTAGCTTGATGTACCCTGTGTTGATTGAAAATTTAAGTAAGTTGAGGAATTCTCGTCTGGTTGGTGGTGGAAAATTTGAAATTTCAGTGAATCTTCTATAAAATCAGAAATTTCATCATTGTTTTTCTCTTAAATGGAATTCGATGCCATTCTCCTGGAAATTACTAGTCAATTGTCCAAAATATTTCAAGTATTTGCAACTAGTGTACTGAATTGAAAATTACCCTGGAATTTATGTTGATGTCAATTCATTCATATTCATTTATCTACACTGTTGAAGATTTTTGTATTTTTCATCACATGATAGTTCCACTGAAATGCCCGGGCATTTCGTCATTGAAAATTCACCATTTTATGGAAAAATCAATTCAGACAATAGACTTCAGTTTAATTATTCTACAAAAATCGATACAAATCTGAAGAAGTCAATTACAGTTGCCTATTATTCCCCTTAAACCGAACTCAACATCATTCTCAAAATTACTAGTCAGTTATTCACGAAATTTCGATTTTTTTCTGGAAATATATAGAATCCTCGCATTTTTTCTTCACTAAAACTGAAGAATTATTGAATATTATCTCTAGAAATTTATCTGAGAATACTTAATCAAGTTCTCAAGGAATTCCATTAATTCATCCCTCATTTTAATATCGCACTTGTCGAATTTCTGTTACTCACGCACTCAAGATTTCATTTTGCCCATTTTCCTTGACTAAATATTTATCTATACCAATGAGAAAATAAACAGCAATCGATACTGTTACATACCTTGACGAAGCCAGGGGTTGTGAAGGTGTGATAGAGGATAACGCCTCTCTCCTCGTACGTGCGAAAGGCCAGAGATACATTAAGGGTGGATGCGCCCTCGTACCCCTTGAGACGAGCGTGTGTCTCTGGTTTCAAGAAGGTCACCGAGATGATAGGGAGATCTGGACACCCGAAGATGGTGTGGATCCGGTAGTACCTGGTGTTCTCCCCGTACGCCTCCACATCCCTCAGGTCTCTGATAACGTTCGTCTTGTTGAGGTAAAAGTTCTCAATGCATCCAGTGAAGTTCTGGCTGACTGCCAGGCCCTCCTGCATGTTGGGAACGCCGCCGATGTAGAGGGCTCTGTTCAAGTCCAGTCGGTGGAACTCTCCCTTTATCTTTCCCTTCACCAATACTCGGTCGACGGAGAAGGCGATGTCCCTGCGGGACCTGGACATCAGGACGTCGTGCCATTGGTTGTCGTCCAGCAAACTCCCGACTAGGAAACTCGTGGTGAGGCCAGAGCCGAGGTCTATGTTCAGGAGCATTTGGTTGTCGCGGAGCTGAATCGCGATGAAGTCCCCTTGGGTGCCTCGAGAGTACAGCAGGACTCCGTCAGCGTTGTTCGTTTTGAAACGAAAACGCAGGGAGTGACGATCTGTCTCGATTGGCTCACGTTGGAGGTCCATTGCGATGAGCGAGGAACCGTTGAAGCCTGCTACCTCCGAGACTTGGTGGGGAAAATAAAGAAGGGATTTATTTCTTGAAAATTTGTGCTCTTGGAAAATTCCCGAATCGACGTGACAAAAATTGAGAGAAAAACGAAGTTTTAAAAATTTTTTTTTAAATGAAGAATTTATTCATAGATTTGATTTAAATTATGAAAATACCATAGGGGCATCTGTAGAGCTCAACTCTTGAAAAGTTTTGCTCTTGGGAAATTCGCGAATGAACGTGAAAAAAAATTGAGAAAAAAAAAGTTTTTTACAATTTTTTTTTAATGAAGAATTCATTGATAGATTTGATTTAAATTATAAAAATACAATGGGGGAATCTGAAGAGCTCAACTCTTGAAAAGTGCTCTTGGGAAATTCGCGAATTGACGTGAAAAAAAATTGAGAGAAAAAAAAAGTTTTTTACAATTTTTTAAAAATGAAGAATTCATTGATAGATTTGATTTAAATTATAAAAATACAATAGGGGCATCTGAAGAGCTCAACTCTTGAAAAGTGCTCTTGGGAAATTCGCGAATTGACGTGAAAAAAAATTGAGAGAAAAAAAGTTTTTTACAATTTTTTAAAAATGAAGAATTCATTGATAGATTTGATTTAAATTGTGAAAATACCATAGGGGCATCCGTAGAGCTCAATTCTCATCGAAATTCTCGTCTTCCATCGAGTCGGATTGATCCGAATGTACTGTGCAATAATAGGCACATCAAACTTATTCAGTTTAATGGATTCTGCGTTGGTGTTTCCTTTGAACATCTGTAATTGTTCGTCACTGTTAAGTCAATTTAAGAAGATGAAGCTGAAGTGGGAGTACTCAAATATTATGTCACACATTTTTTGGACACATTGGAGAGTCCCCCTCCTCTTTTCACAAAATTGAATTTGAAAAATAAGAATGAGAGGGAGAATGCAAATAATTAGATGACTAATAAAATCTTAATGCGATGCTCGTGTCACGTAATATTTGAATACGCCAGTGCAATTCTCCGTGTTCACTTCACGCATGAGAAAATTTGATCGAAAAATCTAACACTTTCTCTAAACAATTCTATTGAATTTCTATTCGCATTTTATAAGAATGCTCTTGAAATTTTGTTAGAATTCTATTAAAAAATTCTATTTATTTTTTTGCGCCATTTATATAAGAGATTATGTAATTTTACTGTGTCATTTTGTTAAGACATCTTGGATAGAAAAAAAATCAACAATATTAATTTTTCTATAGAAATTCTTGGGCATAAATTTTCCAAGTTTGTTCTGTTGTAGTTAAAACTTAGACAAAACAAAAAATCCCAGCAGAATAAGTTATACAGAAATATCCACATTTATACACATTTTTCTATGAACAAATATCTATTTAAAAAACTCGGGGGACGTTGCATAATTTTAATCGGATTTTCGCAGAAAAATTACTAAAATCGTTCAATAGAATTTCTTAGAGAAAGCGAAATTTTCTGTAAATTTTTACCACACGTGTTCTCGATGTTATTCATCATCCGAGTGAGGGAATGGGAATGAAGGTGCATTTGTGAATGTGTTAAATACACAGGAGAACGCGATATCGTGTCATTTTCTTCGTGATACAATAAAGTACCTCTTCAACACCTTCCTGACTCTCATAACTGATCCACGCGTGACCGTTATCAGAGTACTGGAGGATGTACTCCATAACAAATTCACTCGTATGAGCACGACCGCGTGTGGCAATGCTCCTAATTTCATGTCTCTCCCCCAAATCCATCGTGATCAGTTGATTGTAAGTATTGTCAGCTGGTGACCAGGCACTGTCCCCTGCAAAGCCCAGTCCGAAACCCAGTGTTAGAGAGTTAATCAGAAGCCAAGCAGATGGATTCAGCAGTTGAGTGGTAAAATGTAACAGAACATCTCATTTTCACGAGTAATTTATTCGTTCTGCCAGATTTTGTGGCTTTAGAGAGAAATGTTGAAGATCGGAAATTTCGTTAGTTACGAAAAAAAGAAAAATAAATTGCCCTAAAATTTATCACTACTGGGATCACTCAAGAATTTTTCAATAGAGAAATCATTCAAAACTTCAATAGAATTGTTAAATGGCCCAATGGCAATGCAAGAGAGATCTGTTATATTTTTACTCTGAAATCACGTTTACCTTTTCCGAGGTAATTAATAGTTTGATGAATGCGTAATTAGATATTTCGATTTGTTGAGTGATAGTACATAATGAGTATTGAATGATCCCTTGATGAATAGAAAGACTTCTCATTTTCACCCGTTTTCCATTGAAAATTCTGCAGTTTTCTGTGGAATTTTTCAATAGATTCGAAAATAATCACTAGATTTTTTCTGTTATACAACTTCTCTTGAGATTTTTCTAAACAAAATCTTGAGCATAAAATTTGCAAATGCCATACCCTAGAATTTTTACATAAATAAATCCCAAGGAAATAAGTCACAAAGGAAAATTAGAATTAATTGACTCTTCTCTATAAAAAAACCTAGCAGAATTTCCTCGCAATAGCGCTAAATTTTTCCATTCAATTATTTCACACACGTGAAATGTCGTTGTACCCACGCCGCGATAAAAATTATTCAATTAGTTACTAACAATCGCCACGAAATTATTCAATCGAAGTGGAAAAAACTGGATTCGATTAATTACAATTCACCACTCTGCTGCTGAATGAAAAAGTTAGATAAATGTTAATAATAGTGACCACCTAGAAGCAACATGCCGCACGCCATGCCACACATACAAACAAGGCAAAAATAATTTTCAGGGATTGATGAATCATTAATACCTGGCAACGAGTGTCTGAATGACTCATTCCCCGCGCATAAGCATTCGTAAAAGCTTGACGAGCAAACGTACCTTCATATTTCCGTCCTCTTCTTTGTAATCCATGTAATTACGACCATTAGTGCCATAACTAATGCCATACTCCAAGACGTATTCAGCTTTGTTAGCACGTCCTCGAGTGGCAATGCCGGTGATATTCATGACATCGCCCAAATCGATCGTGAAGTACTGATTACTGTCTGAACTACTGGCTGTCCAAGCTTTCTCGCCTGTGCCCGTACAACAACAACAACAACATTCTCATGCAGACGATGCAAAACGTATGGATATAAACTGAGATTGACGTTGAAAAATAAATAATTTCGGTAATCGAGAATTGAAAGAGAATTGTTAATAAATATTTTTGTTGCTTTTCAAATATTCATCGTTTATAGAGGGGAATTGACTAGTGCTGTTCAGTTACTTCACTACTAAATTATGAGATGAATCAATAGTGAAGTGAGAGTAAAGCACGAGGGATTGTACTCCCCTAATTTCAACAATTTACGACACAAAAAATAAACTCAGGAAAAATATAAAATGAAAAAACGTTGGTTTCATTTGGAATCTGAGTGGAAGATTAAAATTGTAATCGCAAAAATTGATTTGGAGCGAAGAATAGGCAGCTTTCAGAAGTCGAGGGTTGAAAGAGAAGTTTTTCATGAATATTTTTACGTAACAATGTTAGTTATTTCTCTCAGATTGCGCGATATTTGAAATATTCATTTCTCAGAGAAAAATTGACTTATGCTGTTTAATTACTTCACTACTAACTAATGAGATGAATAAATAGTGAAACGGTCGGTGAAATGCATATCAAGCTAACAAAATGCGGGTGATTGTCCACCACTAATTTAAATAATTCACAGTATTAAAATTGAAAATGAAACCGTAGTTTAATTCGAAATTAATTTGAAAAGGGATTTATGCGATCCTTTTTATTGACTTCAACGTAAAGATTACGTATCTTGCTTCATGTCCTCACATCACTCCTAAAGAGTGAAATAGCACGGGAAATACGGACGACGCTGTACGAGTGATTGTCACACGTGGGAGTGAATCAATTTGAAAAATTTACTTCACAAGAATAGACTCTATATTCAGAATCAAAATTAGTGGTAAAAAATGATGAGTCGACTCAACCTCAGGGTGACTCTTAGATGAATGTCAATCGAAGAGAGACAGCGAAATTTTGATGAGGACCTTGTAGCAGATTTAATTTCGCTATACAAAAAATTCGCTATGCGTGATTTCGGGGGATTCTTCGATTCTAAACCGAAGGAAATTCCGTCTTGAAGTCAATAAACATTCCCTGATATATAAAATTCACAGGGTGAACAGGCCAATTGCTGAACGGTTAAGGAAAATTCGAGTTTCGTAAATGAAAAGTCACCAGGCCAGTGATGGCCAATAATATTAGATTTTGACAATATTGAGAAGGATTATCTCCTTATATTGTACAGAGTTTAACTATATTTAACAAATTTAAAATATTATAAAATTTAATAACTAAACTTTTCCGATTGGTGGTGAATAAAATATTTGATAGTATTGAAATGTAATTTTTAGTGAACAAGCTAATTCTAAAATTTAGGTACTTTATTTTCGATTATCCAAATAATCGTCAATCATGCTACCTAAATTATTGGTTAATAGTTTGGTTTATGTTAAAAATTGACAACTTCACAATTTAACTGCAATTATGATTGATGAATATGACTATCACTGGCGATGGCATCCATTAAAAAATTATTTGAAGTGAAAATAACAAAACAAAGAATAATTAAATTAAGAAATAGTTGAATACAGCCGAAACCCCTAATTTCTGGACGACTAGGTCATATTGTTTCTATTCATTAAATGCGGATCAGCAGAAAAAATAATTGATCGCATGATACCACACGAGTAATATTATTGAAAAATGAAATAATCAGTACAATTTTGATTTTATTATTTATGGAGTATTCAATGGACCTTAAAATCGTCCGGGAACTGACCTGTTGACCCTATGAAGCCAACGAAATTCAAATAACAGTCCACGTGGTAATGAATCACTCAATCGACTCCCCAAGAATGAACTCAGCTGAACTTCAAAAGAACATCTACAATGCTCACGAGACATCAATAAATGAACTACACTCCAGAGTTTACTTTCAAAACGTACATTGAAAAACAGCAGAAAGTCATAATTACCGTTTAACTGGGCATCAGCAGGTGTCCTATCCGACATCCAAGAGGTTGCCATGAGTTTGCTTTTGGTTGAATCGACCAGCAGAGGCTGATCACACGAATATTCCCCTAGAAACCGATGGACATCAGCATGATTCGCTTAATTAAGGATGTCCATCCCAAAATAATTTTCTTGCAATACCTCTTCTATTTTTTAAATCCCCGGGACTTTTTATCAACCATTGGATTCAGTATATTTACTAATATTTGTATTGATGGATGGAATCTTCCCACAGGCAAATTGTCAATTCAGAAATGACATATGTTTAAAAAATTAATACAAAAACCTATTGAAAGTTCCATTGAATTTTGATTGGAATTTTATTTTAAAAAATTACTTTAAAAATTTAGTTTAAATTGAAATTTTAATTTAATTTTATTATTTTATCGCCAATTCTGTTGAACATTATGCAAACTCTGTCTACTCTGTCGTTTTATTAATACTAATGAAATAATAGTAGATAATTAATTTTAATTACAAAAGATTTTCTATTTTTTAAATGTATTTTCACTTGTTTCTCATAAAATTCAAGAAAAAAAGATTTGGAAAATTCTCATTTAAGAGTTCTCATAGAAATAATCCCAATAGAATGAGTTATATCGAAAAATCAACATCTCTGCACTTTTTTCTATGAAAAAATGTCTATTGTAAAACGCACGTGAAAGTTGCATAATTTTTAACAGAATTGACGCAAAAACGAATAGAATTTTCTAATAGAATTCTTTAAATTCAATAGAATTTCTTAGCGCAAGCGTTAGGATTTTCTATTTAATTTCTTCATTCGTGGAATAAAAATTTATTTATCTTATTTATTTTCTTTTCAAAACGATTGCAGAAAATTTTTCTTGCCCATCACAAAAGTCAGTTTGACGTATTCTTCCACTAAAAATTTCCCAATTTGTTTCATACGCAAAATATTTTTTTCAATCTTCAAAATGAGCCTTAATTTATGAAAATTGTGTAATTATATTGTAAAAAACTGACCATGACAAACGGTCCGTTTTACCCCACTCTCCCCCATTCGCGCAGTAAACAAACAAATATAACCAATCGATTCCTCGAGAATTGCCCCCTCAACCCGCAATCTAAATGAATGGCTCCCCCAACCCAACAAAAAAAAAAAAAAATCAATGCCTCTATTTTGAATGTTGCATTGCGCTGGCATGGGTTGGGTCCGAGGAGTCACGCATCAAGTATGTCGCGCCTGTGTCACTTCATTAATGCCAATAAACAATTAATACTCACATCCTTCGGCGAACTGCCCGGCCGCAGCCGCAGCGAAAATCCAGATCCACATATTACACTTCATCCTCTCATTTCACCTCACAAAATCCCGAAATAGACCCCCGAAACGCGTGTTATTCAATCGAAAAAAATGCCCGTTTGATTCAACAATAACTACTCGTCAACATCCTTCCGTGGAGTCCGCTATTTACGATGACGACAAGGCGCTACCTCCGAGCCACTATGAATGGCCACTCCCACGAACCAGCGGAGTCACTCAGTGGGTACAACATGATTTACCATCGGTAAAACACCATTATTCGGAATTATTAAAGTAGCTCTACGCTTACCGTAAATTCAAAGAGTATTGATAACTGCAAGAAAATTTCAGAAAACTCGATTCGGACTTCTAATTTTTTTCTCAATTGAATTACCGTTTTGGCTTTTCAAAGAAGAAATGTTTAAAAATCCGGATTTAACCCCCAGTGTCTTATGTAAAAATCAACATTTCCATTGTAATCAGATTAAAATCTGATTTTTTTTTCATTAGATGGGAAAAAATCAAGAATTTTTTTGACACCTCATAAAAAATAATCCACTGTTTTGCAAACAAGTTTTATTATTTATTTATGAGAGGGAAATGTTTGAAAAAATATCCATATTTTGCGAAATTCAAAGATTATTGATAACTGCAAGAAAATTTCAAAAAAGTCGATTAGATTCGGGCTTCTAATTTTTTTCTCAATTGAATTACCGTTTTGGCTTTTCAAAGAAGAAATGTTTAAAAATCCGGATTTAACCCCCAGTGTCTTATGTAAAAATCAACATTTCCATTGTAATCAGATTAAAATCTGATTTTTTTTTCATTAGATGGGAAAAAATCAAGAATTTTTTTGACACCTCATAAAAAATAATCCACTGTTTTGCAAACAAGTTTTATTATTTATTTATGAGAGGGAAATGTTTGAAAAAATATCGATATTTTGCGAAATTCAAAGATTATTGATAACTGCAAGAAAATTTCAGAAAAGTCGATTAGATTCGGGCTTCTAATTTTTTTCTCAATTGAATTATCGTTTTGGCTTTTCAAAGAAGAAATGTTTAAAAATCCGGATTTAACCCCCAGTGTCTTATGTAAAAATCAACATTTCCATTGTAATCAGATTAAAATCTGATTTTTTTTTCATTAGATGGGAAAAAATCAAGAATTTTTTTGACACCTCATAAAAAATAATCCACTGTTTTGCAAACAAGTTTTATTATTTATTTATGAGAGGGAAATGTTTGAAAAAATATCAATATTTTGCGAAATTTAATTTAGATAATACGCACTGGGTATGAACTTGTTCAAATTTTTTCCATGCAATTCAGCTGAAAAATTTGAAAACTGAAAATATCCACAAGTACAGCGTAGCCCGGCCGAAGGGTAGAGCTACTCTAAGAGGCTGTGAAAATTGAGAAACACAAAAAAATTTTTTTTCACCTGGGTCCAAAGATTGTACAAACGACCGCCCCTCCCCCCCTCAAAAAAAAAATCCGCAGCTTATCTGCGCGTTTTTTTTCCGATAGAAATCTTCAATGGAGAAGAAAAAACAATAGAATTCAATTTTTTATACAACTTACTCTATTAATACATTTTTGTAGAGAAATCCCTGGACTCAAATTTTTAAGTTTTTTTATTCAATCTCCTCAATGAAAATAGAAGAAAAATAGAATGAAAAAAAAGAAAATTTGAACCGAGGAAATTCTGTAGAAAATATCTCAACAGAATAAATTATGTAAAAAAATCAAAAGTTGACTTTTTGTATTGAATATTTTCTACATTGAACATTTCAATAGAATCGGCCAAAAACTAATAGAAAGTTCAACAGAAATCCAATAGAATTTACATTAAAGAAGGAAATTTACATAGCGTTCCCCATCTTTGTGACGTCATAGAAAATAATTCTACGGGATTAGGAAGAAATTTAGTAGAAAAATCTACCGAATTCGCTAATTTGTCTATTAAATTTTTTCACCCTGTGGGCCTCGCCGGCCGACGGAGGTGCTCAGCAGGTACACCCTGACTTACCATCAGTAACCCACGACTTACCACGGCTCCCTTTTGGGCCACATGAACACACGTGTGCCCATGTAAACGCCCTGTGTCCAAACGGAGAAATAGTACTCCACTAAAACCTAAAAAACCTAGTATTGTATGTAGTGCCGGCGGTGCAGGTGTTATCGATGTTCGTGACGTTGAATCCCAATGCACTCGTGCACTCGAGGTCGTGACACTGAACAAAACGCGAAAAAATACCCACAACACCACCGAATATTTTTAGACGATCGAATTGTTTTTGTATGTGACATAGAGCATTAGATTATTCAAATGGCAGGTGACGGCCAGAAATTGGATTCTAACCTCGTGGAGGGTGGAAGTAAACAGCAGCGCAGGATTCATCATCGGTGAGTGTTGACCATTGCAGTGGCTGCATTAATTGCTAGTAATTGACAATGCATCGTCCACTACTCCCTCCATCGATTCAAGTGACAAGTTTGCGTTTACAATCGCTGAAAGAACGTTTTTTACCCCACGCGCAGTAGTATTTAAGGCATGTGCTCCTTGGAAACACTGGGGTGTACGCATAAACATGGCTGGACCAATCGGCGACCGTTCACCCATCGCCTGACATGACACTCCACCAATCGCCGTCGGGCTCTCTTCATTCATTCATGGCTTCTCTCTCTCTGGTAGCGCACTTTGGTCTATCTCAATTTCAAATTGAGAGAGAATAGCAACAGATATTTGAGGGGGGTCTCTCTATTGAGGTCTATTCAGGCATTTTTTTTTTAGAAAATCATTGCGAAGGGGGGGTGGGGGTTTATTTCATGATTTCTTCATTAAACTGAGAGGTTCGAAAAATTTTTAGAAGAAACCTAGCGAATTTTGTAAAAAATTCTATTCCATTTCTATTCAATTTTCAACAGGAACTCAATTTTAAATTGAGAGAGAATAGCAACAGAGTCAGGTATTCAGGCATTTTTTTGAGAGAATTATTGCGAAGGGGGTAGTGGGGGTTTATTTCATGATTTCTTCGTTAAATTGAGAGGTTCAAAAAAATTTTATAAGAAACCTAGCGAATTTTGTAAAAAATTCTATTCCATTTCTATTCAATTTTCAATAGGAACTCAAGTTTAAATTGAGAGAGAATCGCAACAGACTCAGGTATTCAGGCATTTTTTTGGGAGAATTATTGCGAAGGGGGTAGTGGGGGTTTATTTCATGATTTCTTCGTTAAACTGAGAGGTTCGAAAAATTTTTAGAAGAAACCTAGCGAATTCGGTAAAAAATTCTATTACATTTCTATTCAATTTTCAATAGAAATGTTCAATGGAATTTTTTTTCTATAGAAAAAAATCCGTAGAATTCGATTTTTCTGTACCATCTATTCACTTGAACATTTTCTATTCAAAAAAGCGCAGTAGAGCTGCGGAATCCTTTAATAGAATTTTTATTGGAACTCTGTAAGAATTCTATCGGAGTTCTATTAGATTTCTATCAAAAAATTTCGTTTGTTGTTCGCCCGCATTCTATTCAACATTTTTATTATTAAATTAAATATTTTATGTTGCACGACTTGACATAAAATATTATAGAGCACTCGGTAATAAATTTCGTTTTCAACGAATGTGTGTACAGGCCGAGCCGAAGGTGAGGTAATTTGGCGAGGAAATTTGTGCCCTTGTACTCTAATGTACTAAAAATTTATCATGCGTAATTATATTCACAATTAATTTCGTCTCTTGACTTTGTTTCAATTATCTACAACTCTTCGTTTGCTGTTGAATACAATTTTCGAAATTCATTCATTCGAATGAATAATTTAACCTGACCAGAATTGTTGTTGTAAAATAAAAAAAGGAAGAATTTAATTTTAACTGAAAATGTAATTAGATTCAACTGAGTATTTCACAGAGAAATTAATTCGAAACGTCAAATAAACTCTGTGTTTGGTGAATTATCGCAGAATGTGGGAATCTGGTGGGGGTTCCCAGACTTTTTCTAGCGTCTGGGGGAACGCGCCTGCATACAAAAAATGGATAAAGATGCAACATTCAATTATGAATGATAATATTGAAGCAGTTCTACCGTTTCGAGAATTCAAAGTTATTGAGCACTACAAATGACTGGATTGTTGCATAACATACAGAAATTGGACTCCAACATTATGAAAAAAAGATAAAAAATATTACACGTGGATTTTTTACCCTAAAAAATCATGAACAATTATGAAAAACATTATTAAATCACAAGATTTCATTACTTTCATCGTTTATCGAGATAAAAAAATTGTTTTCAGTACTGTTAACTCATTATGCATATTTAGCAGTAAAAAAATCTTCTGCAAACCCTCAAGTGCCTATTTAACATTTCCCCACGGACGAACCAATTTTCTAAAAAACCCCAGCGAATCCGCTAGACAATTCTATTGGATTTCTATTGAACTTTCTATTAGTTTTTGGCCGATTCTACTGAAATGTTCAATAGAAAATATTTTATAGGAAAAGTCAAAAGAATTCGATTTTTCTATACAACTTATTCTTGAGATATTTTCTATAGAATTTCCTTGGCTCAAATTTTCAATGTTATTTCCTGCTATTTTTCTTTTCTTTTCACGAAGAAAATCAAACAAAAAAACTCGGAAAATTTGAGCCGAGGAAATTTTACAGGAAATATCTGAAAAGAATAAGTTACAAAGAAAAATCTAATTCTATTGACTTTTTCCATTGAACATTCCAACAGAATCGGCCAAAAACTAATAAAAAGTCCAATATAAATCCAACAGAATTGTCTCACAAATTCGCTAGGTTTTTCTATTAAATTCTTTCGTGCATATTCAATAACCCCCGAAGCATAACATACAAAAATAGAAATGAAATTCAATGTCATATTATTCAATTCCCTGATAACAACTGACGCGTCAACATTGAAAATGCGATCGCGCGACCGACAAGGCGAATCCCAAAGAAGTTACTTCGAGCACACAACGTCGACCTCTGAACCATTTTCCGTTCATCGTTGGACCCAAGTATATCGAAGTCTAGCAGTCTGGTGTGTTCGGTAGTCCATTGTACGTGCGCATCATTTTTTCTTCTCGACAATCCAAAGCAATTTAACTAAAAATCATAAAGATAAATCACTCTTCATCGGATTGCGGTGCGCAATGGATGGGAATCATAGTGCGAAGGGTCATAAAAAATAGCCCTGGACAGGCTGGTGCTACCGACAAAATTCGTATCGTTGCACGGAGCATGCTGCAACAACTCCCCGACTCCATCGGTATAATTCAATTGAATCTCGATCGGCAATGACTCATTGCACCTTCGAGTTGTGGAAGAAAAAAGTACTCGAGGGATAACAAAAATCGGAATATTTGTTTTCAAGGTTTATTCGTGTACTGCTTGACAATCGCCGGCGCTGTTTTTTGGGCATTTCGAGTGATCATTAAAATTCCGCATCTCGCATACCTGCGGAGACGTAGAAATACTAGTCGCATGGTTTTAATTTCTCTGAAGAACTCAATTTTCCGTTATCTCTGGGGTAAGTTGAGAGTGGAATGCAGTGCCCCATTGATTGCTCCATCGCGCTGATAAGAAGTTTTTCAAATTTACGTTTCAGTAGCGAAGCGATGAACCGGTCCAAGTCCAAGATTTCGACTATTAGTCAGTTTTCAATTAATATCTCGGATTCTAAGGCAGGTAGCAAAATTTTTCTCCAAACCAGAATGAAAATATCAAATTCGTAATCGCGAACACGGAGGGAAATATTCAGTAAAAATTACGGAACTCACAATTCGCTCACCGATTACGGAATCGACTTCGAAAATTTAAGTGACGGTATCGTAATTTTTCACAGGAGATTCAGATAAAAATTACGGAACGCTCTGGAAAAATTCATTTCGCTCCGAAATTACGAAAAAGATACGTAACTTTTACTGAATATTTCTCTCCGTGAATAAAAATATCAAATTCGTAATCGCGAACACGGAGGGAAATATTCAGTAAAAATTACGGAACTCACAATTCGCTTACCGATTACGGAATCGACTCCGAAAATTTAAGTGACGGTATCGTAATTTTTCACAGGAGATTCAGATAAAAATTACGGAACGCTCTGGAAAAATTCCGTAACAGTTCCGTAAAATTTTCTACAACCGCATTTCGCTCCGGAATTACGAAAAAGATACGTAATTTTTATTGAATATTTCTCTCCGTGAATAAAAATATCAAAGTCGTATTTCGCTATCTCCCTTAGATCCGGAGATATTCCTCGAAGACTCAGCCAAGAGTTAACTCGACTTGAATCGTTTTACAGCTTCGCTACTAATTTCATGTTTTCTGTTTCGTTTGACCCGACTACTTTGTAAATTTATAAAGTCAGGATAAAAGCGCCTTCTCGTCGATGCACGTACGATTTTGAATTTTTACATTCTCCAAAGTTCAGTTTATTTCCCGATAACATTCACACTCATCGATAACAGTAGTGATGTAACAGCACCAATGACGCGGAATGGAGAGAATAAAATTATAATTGATTAATGCTAAAGCTTCTTCTTCATCCTGTGGGTTTTAACGAACCGAGCATGACTATTTCTACTCATCCGGGTGCTTTTTCAATGGGTGTTGCTATCAGTTATCCCCGAGAAACTACAATTTTGGAATTTTCAAAGGTACACCTTTATGTAAGGAAATAAATTCAACCGAGAGTGGCCTTGAGAGAATTCAGCAAAGTGATCAGGTGGACACAATGGCTGAAGCACCAGTGAGTTTTGTCGTTGGAGAACCTGATCCTTCAGAGTCCGAGGAGTTAGAGACTGCGGACAGTTTTCCTTGTGTTGAGAATGACGGAACCACACAGCAACCCATTTTGCCGGGTCTGGTTGAGCGCCGTAAACGGCTCAGGTGAATTTTTAATTTTTTTTTTGCATTTCTTTCTGGTTGAGGGGCAGTAGAACGCGGGGTTATGCATAGAAAAGTTCAATCAGAAAACCTACCCAATTCGCTAAAAAAGTTTATTGGAATTCTCTGGAAATTCGATTGGAATTCTACTAAAAATCTAGGGAATTCTCGTTAAAATTCTATTTTTTCCACTGAAAAAGTCAATAGATTTCGATTTTTCTATATGAATATTCTCTTGGAATTTTATCTATAAGAATACTTAAACATGAATTTTCCATTTTTTTTTCACTCGGATCCTGCAAAACAAAACAAATCAAATTATAGCGGAAAAAACAGAAAATCCGGGCCAATAGTTTTAATAGACAAAATCTCAGCAGAAAAATTCAAACAGAAAAATTGAAATCTATTGACTTTTTCTTATCAAATACCTAATAGAATCTGCGCAAAAAACAAATAGAATTAACGAGAATTCTCTAGAATTTTTATAGAATCCCCATAGAATTTCTAGAGAATTTCAACAGAATTTTCTAGCGAATTTGCTAAGATTTTCTATTGAATTTTTTCATACGTGGTGATGCGGTTTTCGATGAATTTGTTCTCGAGTTTATTGGTTGGGGGGGAAATGAGGGCTGCGTATGGAAAACTTATTGGAATTCTCTAAAAATTTAATCGGAGTTCTATTAGAATTCCCTTGAGAAATTCTGTTAGGTTTTTTGCGGTGATTTCTTGGGAAATTTATTCGGCTGTGCGATTTGTTTGGGGGTGCTATATTAAAAATTCAATCGCTTTAGATTATTCTGCAGAATATTCCGTCTATTTTTTTTCGCTGCATTTTTCTTGTTTTTCATTGTTCATTCAAAATTCAGAAAATTTTAAGCTAACTTTAATCTAGAAAATTCATGTCGAGAAAATTTATACATTAGCAACTTTATGTCAAGGAATTCCCGTAGAAAATGCCTCAGGATTTTTTTTATAAATATAAAATTCTACAGATTTTCTCTACAAAATAATTTTTATTGTAAATTTCCCATTGAAAAAACACGCAATAAAACTTCGGATTTCTTCAATAGAATCGTCCAAAAACAGATAGATTGTTCAACAGAAGTTCAATATAAACCCGATAGAATTCTCCATCGAATTCTGTATCGAATTCGCCAGGTTTTTCCATAAAATTAAAAACTCTAAAAATACTCAGCTAATCAAAACCAATTCCACACCTGCAACTCTATTCTCTACTAATGACAACTGCGCACAATTGACCATATAACTTCGACATAATACTTCATCTTTCCCTGACGCACATGCTAATCGGAAGCATCGCGTTAGCCACGTGGTCCCCACGACTAGCTAAGTAGAGGGAACGGAGGCCCTACGATTGGTCGATAGTCAATCAGGTGTCATGGGTCCATCGCCACGAGATAGTGCAGGGACCGCATGTCTTACGATCCAATCACCCTGAACCCTGACCCCCAGCCCCCAAATTCCCAATTTCCATGAACGAACGACCGCGAAACTGAATCGGTTCAGAGCACCGAAGCCTCTGAATGCAGAAGTTGATGATCCATTTACCATCGCCTTTCTCACTTCATAACTGAAACATCAGGGGAGGGATATTCCCGTTTCGTGACGAGAAAGTATCCGCCACCTGAGCGGACTGTCAAGTCAGTAATTGCTGATCTTGCGAGGTGCACGTACCCACTCAGTGTTCTTTAAAAAATTCTTCATCGTCTTGTCCCCCGAATTTCGCCTCTTTCCAATGATTCGCCAAAAAGTATGCACTTACATTTTCTGAACTAAGTTCTCTGCGTACACACATGCATTCACGGATTATAATTTTCATGTTCAATGAGTGTATGGACGGATGCGGCAGACGGAGTGAGCCCTTTATTTAGTCCCTATTTTTTCTATTCTCGGGGAAGATCAGAGTGACAGAGTTGTTCGAGTTTTTAATACCGAGAGTGATAAAAATTTTACGACTGCTGAGAGACATGCTAGACAGCACCATGCGCCGGATGAAGAGATTTGTTTTGGCACGGAGTGATGAGAAGAATCCCATTTGGAAGAGCTCGGACAATCTCCTAGAGTCGTCCAGAAGCGATGATTTCGATGAGAGACGTACCTCCTTGGAGGATGACGACCTATCGGTGTCGACCAGCCGCCGGCGATCTGAGACACCAGGACTCACGTAAATGTTTATTAGTGACGTCGAGATGAAACGTTTATTGTTTTCAGGAGAGATTTGTGGATTTTCGAACTCTAGGGAAGAATTTGGATTTGAATTTTAGAATTGTGTTTTCTCATACGATTATTAATTTTTATTGTTGTGTTGTTTTGTATATATAATTACTTCATTGTATCGTTGAGTCAATGAAGTAGTTTCATAAATGAAAAATAATAATTGCAGGGGAAAACACAATTCTAAAAGTTCATATAGATAAAGGGGTTTCGTTTACAGTCAAGAGAATGTTCTCGAAAAATTAGAGATACTGGAAATGCGGTAGGAATTGCACTTGAATTGAGGCACATTTTCTCTTATTTTAGGGAAAAATTGGTTTTGGCATTGAGACTTTTGGGGCTTTTGAATCGAAATCTCGGAGTTTTTGAAATAAAAGGAAAGTTGGGGTTCGTAAAATAAGATAAGTTATTATCAAAATAGAATGATGGGAAATAAATGAAGTTCTTAGCAGATCCACACCTCAAACAGATCGTAAAATGAGCAAATTTCTTATCAGAGTCCTTAAAATAAACAAAGGAGTTACTAAAATCAGCAAAATTATTAAAAAAGAACTTTGATGTTCTCAAAATAAAAATCTTGAAGTCATTTAACTAAGAACCTTGGGGTTCTTAAGATAAGTAGCTTGAAGTTCTTAAAATAAGAACCTTGGGGTTCTTCCAATAAGAATCTTAGGATTCTTGAATTTCCATCTTAGTTTTTTCAATTCATCTTCGTTAGAACAGAATTATTCTCAATTGAAAACTCAAAAAATTCTCGATTCTAAAATTATTCTCACCAAAATCGATACGTTTTTGCTACTGAAATCAATTAACCAGTTTTTTATACCCAGTACCAGTCTTCGAGAGCCACAACTCCCTTGAATTCAGTACCTCGACTCTGTAAACTTTAAACTTTTTGTCTCTGTGTATTCCCTTTGTCTTCAACCACTCATAAATTCAGACTCTAAATAACTGAAATAATCTTCGAGTGTTTACGAATGAATGCCACCAGGCCACAGCAGATTTCCTGCCCAAAGTGCCGGATTATCCTCGGAATCAAAACAGAATGAGTCAAGTGAACAGTAAAATTGGACTTCGATTCGCGGGTATTTCGATCAGAATGGTCAGGCCGTTAGTCTGCCGCGAGCCTTCGCAAATGTGAATCATTAGTCTCAAATCAGTTAATTCAATAAATGTTGATACCATAAATCAAGTGAATCAAAGAATTCTTGGAATTCAATCAACGTGAGAATACCCTCCTCCAATTACCAGCACGTGTGACAAAAAATAAAACGTCCTTTCATGGTTTTATCGATGACGAAGGTAAAACCTCGATGTCTCATGCACACGAGAGAAAAAATCAGTGAAGAAAAAAGAAAATTTCCATCGAAGCACGATAATTTTCGTTGTAGTAATTGTTCTCGTGAGACATTTACGTGTCTTTCGAGTCAATACATTCGTTCTACAGAGAATTTTATGAGGCCCCTGTTTTATCAAGTGAATTTTATAGCGTAGTGTGTATCTTTGTCCAATAAACACTCATAATTTCCATGGAACAAATGATAATTTCCAGAGGAAATTACAATTTTCTTGAAAACTGTGTTATTGGCAAAACTAAATAACTTCGAGGAGACAATTTTTTTTTGATAAAAAATATTCTTTCCTTGTCAATGGATTCGTTCTATGGTACAAACCTAGGGAGTTCTCTCAGATCAAATGATTCTCGCACAATAGATTATATTTTTTCCTGCCAACAGTTGGAATTCTTCTGGGGATATTTCTGATGATCACGACAAAAATTCAATTTCTGTGAAAGATGTTAAATTTCCCTCTTCAAGTTGGTTAATTTCCCTCAAGTAAATTAGTTACTAGGAAAACCTAGCAAAGTCGATTTTTCTATGTAAGTTATTCTCTTCAGATATTTTCTATAGAATTTTCTCGGCTCAAATTTTTTAAGTTTCTTTCATTCTCTTTTCCTTCCTTCTCATCAAGAAAATCAGAAAAAAAACTTAGAAAATTTAAGCTAAGGAAATTCTATAGAAAATAGCTCAGTAGAATAAGTTGTATAGAAAAATCGAATTCTTTTGATTTTTTCTGTAGAATATTTTCATTTGAACATTTCAATAGAATTGTCTAGCGAATTCGCTAGGTTTTAGGATTCTGGCAGAATTAATTGTTTCTCTCAGCGCGTCAACTGCGTCATGAGTGCCTAGCACCGCTGTAATCTCAGCAATTCATGAGCAATTGTAGTTTTTAGCGTCATTGGATATGAGGTAGGTGGCGATGTTGAGTCTAATCTCGTTCATTAATGACACATCACGCCGATCAATTGCAAGGATTGCAAATAAAAACAACAGTTATTCCCTCCACATTTCCGTATTCGCTGACATTCGTTCAATATTTGTATTTCTCCAGAAGTATTTTTCTCGCCTGCGAAGACCGAGCAAAGTCCGCATGCTAAACACTTTGCGTGATTGAGTAATAGGGTATGGCTTTCTCTTTCCGGCCAAAACATCTAACGGATTGTAATTTTTTTCGTTCATCCCAGGCCCAGCATGTCCCAGGGCACGGTGATGATCCAGACCCAAAGTCCAGGACAAGAGAAGGACTTCACTGTTGCAACGCCCGAAGAATTTGTTCACCGATTCAATGGGACCAAAGTCATTAATAAGGTAAATAAAAAACCGGTTTTTATTTTTTGTTATTAGGCGTATTGAGGGGAGTACTTAGTATCTACGGAGGCTGTATTTTCAATCGAGTCGTCAATGCCTTGAACTCGTGACGTAATCAAAGAAATCGTGAGGTTCATTAATAGCGGGACAAAAAGAGGCGCAAGAAAGGTGTTTCAAGGAAAATTTAAAAATTGTAGATTCATCCTATTGGTTTGCTGGTACTGTTTATCAAGACGTGTTCTCACTTCGGAAGCAGTCGAAGAAGGAATAAAAAATTGCGAAGTTCAGAAGATAATTAATTTTTGTTATAATTCTGCTGAGATTTTCATTGAAAATTAAGCATTTTTTTGTGTAGAATTTTTTGAATAGACATTTTTTGGCAGAGAAAGTCAATAGATGTTATTAATTCATTATTATGACGAAGATCTAATTTTCCCGATTGCATTCTATTATTTGTGCATTCTTTTTATTCACTTAATTTTTTCTCTTCCTTCTTTTTCTATTTTTACACGTCTTTTTGCGTTCATCTCTCCCAGTGGAAATTACGTAGAATGTCACGAAACGTCAAGATATGATGTTTTTCGAAAATGTGTGCGCAGATTTTACGGAATTTTTTTCTATAAATCTCCACCAAAAAAGGAGTAAAGTCGATGCTAAAAATGTGAAATTTTGTGAAATAATTGGCATTGTCTGGGAGCAAATCTCGGCGAAATTTCAGATCAAGCAATCAAGTACTTTTTCCGACACAGCAATTTCTCGAAAATCTTTTGCTCAATATATTTTTCACCTCAAAATATTCCTTATGATAATATCTATCAAATCGAGCCATAACATTTCTACTTAACCCGGAATAACTTCCCAGTAATAGTTTTTTTTAAAATTTGACATTTTGAAACAAAATAATTTGGAATAATGCTAAATGTTAATAATTGTCAATCGCGTTCATTCAAGGCCATATCTAATCGTCCCCTGCAATACTCAGAGTTGGACTTGGGCCACTTGAAATGACTGGCCTGACGAAATACCTAAAAGAATAAATTCTCCCTCCAAGAGAATAATTCCCTGGCAAAACTAACTTTGCGTTCTCACTGTGCGATTTCTTCCTTTAAAAATAAAAAAAATTGCGTGACGTCACATCCTCGGCAGCCCCCCTCCCCAATATATAACTACACAAATAAATATATGAATATATAAAAACAATACTACCACAATATGATAAATGATCCTCGCTCATCCCCCCCTCAATCCCCCCCTCAGGTTTTAATCGCCAACAACGGCATAGCAGCGGTGAAATGCATGCGTTCAGTGCGAAGATGGTCGTACGAAATGTTCAAAAACGAGAGAGCCGTGCGTTTCGTGGTGATGGTGACCCCGGAGGACCTGAAGGCCAACGCCGAGTACATAAAAATGGCTGACCAGTACGTCCCCGTGCCAGGGGGTTCAAACAACAACAACTACGCCAACGTAGAGTTGATTGTTGACATAGCCCTGCGAACGCAGGTACAGGCGGTCTGGGCGGGCTGGGGTCACGCCTCGGAGAACCCCAAGCTCCCCGAGCTCCTCCACAAGAACAACATATCCTTCATCGGTCCCTCCGAGCGAGCGATGTGGGCGCTCGGCGACAAGATCGCCTCGAGCATCGTCGCCCAGACAGCGGAGGTCCCGACCCTCCCCTGGTCGGGCTCGGAGCTCAAAGCCCAATACAGCGGAAAGAAGATAAAAATATCGTCCGAGCTGTTCCGAAAGGGCTGCGTGTCGACGGTGGAGGAGTGCCTAGCAGCCGTAAAAAAAATCGGCTTTCCAGTGATGGTGAAGGCGAGCGAGGGTGGGGGTGGCAAGGGCATCCGCAAGGTGGAGAACGCCGAGGAGCTCCCGTCGCTCTTCCGTCAAGTCCAGGCGGAAGTCCCTGGCTCCCCGATATTCATAATGAAATTAGCGAAATGCGCCCGCCACCTGGAGGTCCAACTTTTAGCCGACAACTACGGCAACGCCATTTCCCTGTTCGGCCGTGACTGTTCGATCCAGCGGAGACACCAGAAGATCATCGAGGAGGCACCGGCTGTCATAGCGAAGCCCGAGATTTTCGAGGAGATGGAGAAGGCCGCGGTGAGGCTCGCGAAGATGGTGGGCTACGTCAGTGCGGGCACCGTGGAGTACCTCTACGACACATCCGGGCGCTACTACTTCCTCGAGCTGAACCCGAGACTCCAGGTGGAGCATCCCTGCACGGAGATGGTGTCGGACGTGAATCTCCCAGCGGCGCAGCTGCAGATTGCCATGGGTTTGCCACTGCACCACATCAAGGACATTCGTCTGCTGTACGGCGAGAGCCCCTGGGGGGACAGCACCATCGACTTCGACCAGCCCCGGCACAAACCGCAGCCCTGGGGCCACGTGATAGCAGCCAGAATCACCAGTGAGAACCCGGACGAGGGGTTCAAGCCCTCCTCGGGGACAGTCCAAGAGCTGAACTTTCGGTCGTCGAAGAACGTCTGGGGTTACTTCTCGGTGGGAGCGTCCGGGGGTCTCCACGAGTTCGCGGACTCCCAATTCGGCCACTGTTTCTCCTGGGGGGAGGACCGCAATATGGCGCGTGAGAACCTGGTGATCGCCCTGAAGGAGCTGTCCATCAGGGGGGACTTCCGCACGACTGTCGAGTACCTCATCACTCTTTTGGAGACGGAGTCCTTCCAGATCAACACCATCGACACCGCCTGGCTGGACGCTCTCATCGCCGAACGCGTCCGCAGCGACAAGCCCGATGTCCTGTTGGCGGTCACGTGTGGGGCCCTCCACATCGCCGACCGCACCATCATGGCGGCCTTCAGTGGCTTCCAGGCGGCGCTTGATCGAGGCCACATACAAGCCAGCAATGATCTCAATAACGTCTGCGACGTCGAGCTGATCAACGACGGATGGAAGTACAAGATCCAGACAGCCAAGTGCGGACCCAACAGCTACTTCCTGGTGATGAATGGATCCTACAAGGAAGTCGAGCTCCACCGGCTCTCCGACGGTGGCCTCCTGCTGTCCCTGGACGGCTCGAGCTTCACAACATACATGAGAGAGGAGGTCGATCGTTACCGCATCGTCATCGGCAATCAGACCTGCATCTTCGAGAAGGACAACGACCCCTCGCTCCTTCGAGCCCCATCAGCTGGAAAGCTCATAAATTTCCTGGTCGAGGACGGCGGGCACATCGAGGCGGGCCAGGCTTACGCCGAGATCGAAGTCATGAAGATGGTGATGACGGTTACAGCTAGTGAATCGGGCTCTGTTTTCTACGTTAAACGTCCTGGCGCTGTCCTGGAGGCCGGCACTCTCATTGCACATCTGGAGCTGGACGATCCCTCCCTGGTGACCAAAGCCCAGGAGTACACTGGGCAGTTTCCCCCGCCGACAGTGCCGGCAGTCCCTGAGAAGCTCAATCTCCTTCATGCCAAGTACAGAGCCGCCCTGGAGAACACTCTCGGCGGTTACTGCCTGCCTGATCCCTACCACCTGCCCCGACTGCGCGAGCTGATCGAGAAATTCATGAGTTCCCTCAGGGATCCCAGTCTACCCCTCCTCGAGCTCCAGGAGGTGATCTCCACGATATCAGGGCGAATACCGATTTCGGTGGAGAAGAAGATCCGGAAAATGATGACTCTCTACGAGAGGAATATCACGTCTGTTCTGGCGCAGTTTCCCTCCCAGCAGATAGCTGCTGTCATAGACGTACACGCAGCAACATTATCGAAGAGGGCGGAGCGAGACGTCTTCTTCCTGACGACTCAGGCGATCGTGCAGCTGGTCCAGAGGTACAGGAACGGCATTAGGGGACGGATGAAGACAGCTGTTCACGAGTTGCTGAGGCAGTACTACACCGTTGAGAGCCAATTTCAGCAGGGACACTACGACAAATGCGTGTCCGCCCTGATGCAGAAGTACAAGGACGACTTGCCCACGGTCACCAACACGATATTCAGTCACAATCACGTGACGAAGAAGAATGTCCTGGTGACGATGCTGATCGATCACCTCTGGGCTAACGAGCCTGGCCTGACTGACGAGCTTGCAAGTACCTTGACAGAGCTGACGAGCCTCAATCGTTCGGAGCACAGCAGAGTGGCACTTCGTGCACGTCAGGTGCTCATTGCAGCTCACCAACCAGCTTACGAGCTTCGTCACAACCAGATGGAGTCGATATTCCTGTCGGCAGTGGACATGTACGGCCACGACTTCCATCCCGAGAATCTCCAGAAGTTGATTCTCTCTGAAACCTCGATCTTCGATATTCTTCATGATTTCTTTTACCACACGAATCGTGCTGTCTGCAATGCAGCGCTCGAAGTTTACGTGAGGAGAGCGTACATCAGTTACGAGCTGACGTGCCTGCAGCATCTCGAACTGTCTGGGGAGATACCCCTCGTCTACTTTCAGTTCCTCTTACCGAGCAATCACCCCAACCGCCAGAATCAGTCGCTCGTTAATTACAGAACTGGCGCGATGGCGGCTTTCCACAGCCTCGACGAGTTTAGCCAGTACTCTGATGAAGTGCTGGATCTCCTCGAGGACCTGTCGTCCCCGTCGTCAGTGTCCGCTAAGGTTCTGGAGGCTGTGGACGCAGCTGGAAGTGAATCTCGTCACAGCACTTCTATTAATGTGTCTCTGAGTCATGCTGAGCAGGGGCCTGTGGACCCGTCCATAGGGGAGAAGCCTGGGGAGCCTGTTCACATACTCAGCATTGCTGTGCAGGACAATGGGAACCAGCAGGACGACGCCACCATGTCGAGGCTCTTTGGGGACTGGTGCCAGGCGAACAAAGACGAGTTGATATCACGGGGAATACGACGAGTGACATTCGCAGCCCTTCAAAGACGCCAGTTCCCCAAATTCTTCACATTCCGCCATCGCGATGGCTTCGTCGAGGACAAGATCTACAGACATCTTGAGCCTGGCACTGCTTTCCAACTGGAGCTGACTAGAATGAGGACTTATGACCTCGAAGCCCTGCCAACGTCCAACCAGAAGATGCATCTGTACCTGGGACAGGCGAAAGTCGCCAAAGGACAACAAGTCACTGATTACAGGTTCTTCATTCGCTCGATCGTGAGGCATTCGGACTTGATAACGAAGGAGGCGAGCTTCGATTATCTTCATAATGAGGGGGAACGGGTCCTCCTGGAGGCCATGGACGAGCTCGAGGTCGCATTCTCTCATCCCCTGGCCAAACGAACGGATTGCAATCACATTTTCCTGAATTTTGTGCCAACAGTCATCATGGATCCGGCGAGAATTGAGGAGAGTGTGACGAGTATGGTTTTGAGGTATGGCCCGCGATTGTGGAAGCTGAGGGTTCGACAGGCTGAGATCAAGATGACCATCAGACCAGCACCTGGAAAACCGACCTACAATGTGCGGCTCTGCATCTCCAATGACAGTGGCTACAGCATTGACCTTCATTTGTACGCGGAGACGACTGACCCCAAGACTGGTGTCATCAGGTCAGAGATATCATGAGTTTTTTGTCATTTTTTTGCAGAGAATGTGTAGTACTATTTTGTCGATGAATGATATGATGACCGGAGTTGTGAGAAGAAATATTTTCATTTAGCTGTTGATGAAGAATTGCAGTTAGGGGTCGTCAGCTTTTTGATAAAGTAGAAAACGGAAATTATTAACAGAATTGGTTTTTCTATTGAACTTATTGGATTGTAATATTTTCTATGGGAAATGGGCAAGAATTGAATTTCGAAAAGAAATTTAATGAAGAAATGATTAAGAATTGAGTGTGACCAAAGCAGAATTCAACTTCATTGCGATATAGAATTCATCACGGTTCAGTTAAGGGGTGACAGAATGCCCTTAATTTTCCAAATTTTTTAACAAATTTCCTGCCGAAAGTTATCGATATTTTTACAAATCAAGGCACATTAATCTCCAGGAGGCGATGATGAAGATCAATGTGCTTTGGGTGTCAAAAATATTAATAACTTTGCGCAGGAAATTTGTTTGAAAATTTCAGGGAAACGGCCTTCTGTTGCCCCTTAAGAATGATCCTAATAGGCTATTTGTCGAAATTATTAAAATGAACGCATAATTTTTTCTTTATCATTAATCATCAAGAGGATGATGAAAAATAAATTTCACTTTATCATCAATCACAAAAGTACTCACAATTGAATTTTTCAAATTAATAATAGCTACGATAATAAAAAATGACTAATACAAATTTATTTATCGATTTATTGATCTCTCAATCAGGTTCGAGTCTTATGGGTCCAATAACGTGGAGACCTGGAGGCCTGGACCGATGCACGGACTGCCGATATCTACCCCATACCTGACCAAGGACTACTTGCAAGCCAAGAGATTCCAGGCTCAGAGTGCAGGCACCACTTACGTCTACGATCTGCCCGACATGTTCAGACAGCAGATCGAGAAGTCGTGGACGAAATTCCTGGATGAGAGGTCAACTGAGGGGCAGACCCACCAGCTACCAGTCATGCCGAACCCTGTAATCGACTACGTAGAGTTGGTTCTAGACGGTGACGTCCTGATGGAGCAAAAACGCCTGCCCGGGGAGAACGACGTGGGAATGGTGGCGTGGAGAATGACCCTCTACACCCCAGAGTACCCGGCAGGACGTGAGATAATCCTCATCGCCAACGACCTAACGTACCTCATCGGTTTGTAATGATACTATCACTTATACTTTCCCGCCATCCAGTTTTCAATCAATATCTCGGAATCTGAGGGAGATAGCGAAATTTTCGTAATTACATTTGTTGTAGCTTTCAATCGGCTCTGCAAAAAAGGTTATAACAAAAATTTCGCCATCTCCCTTAGATTCGGAAATATCCCTCAAAAACTCAACTGGGCGATAAGTCGACTTGAACCGATTTACCACTTCGCTGCTGAATCTTTACTGAACCAATCTTACTAAATGAAAAGCAATCCTGAAATATTCATCATTAAACTCAAACGATAGTTTGAGAAAGTTTACGTAACATTAAATCACCCAATTTCCCAATTTTTTCCCGGGTCTATCACCCAAAATGTCTCGTTCTCTTACAGGTTCCTTCGGCCCAAGGGAGGATCTCGTCTTCTACCTGGCGTCGCAGAAGGCCCGAGAGCTATCAATCCCTCGAGTCTACTTCTCAGCGAACTCAGGAGCTAGAATAGGTCTCGCTGAGGAGGTCAAGAGCCTCTTCAAGGTCGCCTGGGAGGACGACACCTCCCCCGACAAGGGCTTCAAGTACATCTACCTGACCCCGGACGACTACGCTCGCCTGGCCTCCGTCAACTCGGTTAAAGCATCACTGATCGAGGACGAGGGTGAGTCCAGGTATCAGATCACCGATATCATTGGCATTGACGATGGCCTCGGGGTGGAGAATCTCAAGTACGCGGGGATGATAGCTGGGGAGACGTCGAAGGCTTACGACGAAGTGGTGACGATATCGGTGGCCACTTGCAGGGCCATTGGCATTGGCTCGTACCTCCTTCGTCTGGGTCAGAGGGTCATTCAGATAGAGAACTCAGACATCATCCTCACGGGGTACAGAGCGCTCAACGCAGTCCTGGGGAGGGAGGTGTATGCAAGCAACAATCAGCTCGGTGGCATCTCCATAATGCACCACAATGGGGTGTCTCATGCAACAGCACCGAGGGATCTCGATGGCGTCGACACTGTCCTCAGGTGGATCAGCATGGTGCCCAAGGTCAAGGGAGCACCACTGCCCATTGTCATACCATCGGACCCCATCGACAGAGAAATTGTGTACGTTCCCACGAAGACTCCCTACGACCCCAGGATGATGCTGGAGGGCAGGATGTCAGTGGACACCAACACCTGGGAGTCTGGATTCTTCGATCGTGGCAGTTGGGAGGAGATCATGAGGCCCTGGGCGCAGACTGTCGTCACTGGAAGGGCTAGACTTGGGGGGATACCTTGTGGTGTTGTTGCTGTGGAGACTAGAACTGTTGAGTTTCAATTGCCTGCTGATCCCGCTAATCTTGATTCTGAAGCCAAGACTGTGTCGCAGGCTGGACAGGTGTGGTTCCCAGACAGCGCTTACAAGACAGCACAGGCCATCAAGGACTTCTCGAGGGAGGAATTGCCACTGTTTATTTTCGCCAATTGGAGAGGCTTCTCGGGGGGTATGAAGGACATGTACGAGCAGGTGATTAAATTCGGGGCGTACATAGTGGACGGGTTGAGGGAGTACACGAGACCTGTTTTCGTTTACATTCCACCGAATGGGGAGCTCAGGGGTGGGGCGTGGGCTGTGATTGATACGTCCATCAATCCGAGGTACATGGAGATGTTTGCGGAGCCAACGAGCAGGGGAGGGGTTCTGGAACCTGAGGGCATTGTCGAGATTAAATTTAAGAAGAAGGATGTCATTAAGGCCATTCACAGGAATGATGCTGTTGCTCAAGGGTTGAAGGAGAAATTGGGGAGTGCGGGACTGTCAGGGGAGGAGAAAGCTCATTTGGAGGCTGAACTACGTCAGAGGGAGCAGCTGCTGCTGCCACTTTATCATCAGGTGGCTGTGCACTTCTCCGATCTTCATGACACCCCTGAGAGAATGCTCGAGAAGAATACGATTCACGATATTGTGCCGTGGAAGAAGTCCAGGAAGATTCTGTACTGGAGGCTCAGGCGGCGATTGCTTGAGGATGAGATCAAACGGGATCTGCTCTCCACTCAGCCTACGCTGGATTATCGACAGGTTGATGCCATGCTAAGGAGGTGGTTCGTCGAGGACAAGGGGACCACTGAGTCGTATCTCTGGGATCAGGACGAAGCTGCTGTCTCCTGGCTCATCGATCAGGTTCAGAATGAAAATAGTGTTGTGACGAGGAATATCAATTGTGTTAAGCGGGATGCTGTTGTTACGCGGGTTAAGGACGCTATTGAAACGTGTCCGGAGGTGCGACTGGACGCCGCTTTGGAGATTGTACATCGACTTCAGCCGTCCGAACGCGCCGAGTTGCTGAAGACACTGGCGCAGTTGGAGACGTCGCAGGAGGTTGATTAATGATTAGTCGTATCTCGGGGGAGATGAGGGGCAAACTGAATGTACATTATGAGGGTTTTGGGTGAATGTTTCTGGGGGAAATGTGTAATTGAAAATCCTAGCCCTTTCCTGGGGGAATTCTGGTGAGAATGATTTGGATGTTTTTTAGTTTTTTAGGGTAAAATAGCTCGATGGGAAGAGTCAATAGAGGTTTATTTTGTTATACAATGTGTTCTGTTGGTATTTTTATTTGAATGCAGGTGAGGGAAAAATTAGTGGAAAAAGGAAATATGAGTAAAATAAATTTTATAAATTCTGTTGAAGTTCTTTTGAATTTATTGAAAATTTAACGTTTCAGTAGAAATTTTTCAATATATTTTTTTAACAGAAAAAGAAGTTATATATGTTGATTTTTCTAATTACGTTATTCTGGTGGGATTTCTATAAAAACTCTTGGGAATGACGTTTACGAGTTTTTTTTTCTCGAATTTATTTATGGAAAAGAGATAAAAATACAGTGGAAAAAAATATGCCTAAAATTTTATATAGAAAAAGCAGAATATGACACGATCGAATTATTTAATCGAGTTTTATCAGTCATTCAGCGTAATTCTTACAGAAAGCACTAGGATTTTCTATTAAATTTTTTATCCTCGAGTTACGAACTTAATGCTCAGGGATTTCTACACAGAAAATGTCAACAGAATAGAGAAAGTAAAAAATCAAAATCGATTGATAAATCTGCTAGAATTTTTTAAAGAATGGGCTGGGTTTTTCTCTTGAGTTTTTCATACGAAAATTGAATATCAATAGAAGACGATTGACATTTATATTCAACATTCCGTCTGGATTGTCGTCTGCAATTCAATCCCACACCTGCACGGGTACCTGGTATCAATAGTTTATTTTATGTTCATAAGAAAATGACGTTTTACCTCTCCAGTTGCCTCACCCAATTTATTTAGATAATTGTAAATTTTTCAGATTTTATATTATTTGTAAATCGAGTGTCTTTTCTTTTTGGAATTGTGGATAGATACGAAATTGATTAAACTACTGATAGATAAAAATAAATGATGGATTAGGATTTAACGTGGTGTGCATATTAATGTTTGATAGCACAAATTAAATGCATTAACAAATCGTAGAGTTAATATTGTGAATGAATGATAATGTAATCATGGAATAAGGTAAAATATCACTGCCATGACAAATAAACACGAAAGAATCATTATATTGTTAAAATATCTCACGTATTGTCTGTTTATTTAACCATCGCATCGAGTTCACAGGCGTTAGAATACGGGTATTTGGCTCCTGTGAGTGTCTTCTAGGTCGTCGTCTAGGGTCAGCAGCACCATGAATGAGAAGAACATTGCGAGGGCTGAGATGAAATGCCAGATATCGTGATAGTCGAAGAAGTTTAGTAGTGATAAACACGGACGGTTTGAGTGTCGTGATTGCGCTGGTGTCAGCGCCCACGAGATCGACTTGTTGATGAAGAAGTAGAGCGCCAAGCCCCAGGCGATGAAGGACAGTAGGATGTAACACTTCGCTTGGAGTAGAATCTTTTCTCGATAACACAGCTGGAAGGAATTTTTTCGTTTATTCATCTGAATGTCTTTTCTGGGGCTTTTCATTTGTTAAAAAATAGGTGAAACATTCTTGGGTAGCAGCCTATTTCGCCATACTTATGCTAGATTTAGGAATATTTCAAGTTTAGCTTAGCTCAAAAATTTATTTCTTAAGGTCTTTTTCTATTTTGATTCTTAAAAAATTATTCATAGATGAATGAATCTGCAAAAATATATATATATATTTATATTTTTTTAAATAAACGATTTTTACTTAGAGCGAAAAATATTTTTTTATTATTTGAATAAGAAAATGTAGGAATTAAATGTGAAAGATGAATGAATAATAAAAATGATAATAATAAATGATACTTCTTTTTTTTTATTAATAAAAAATCGTTAAGAAATTTTTCTTCGTGTGATTGGCGAAAAAGATTCAAATTTTTTCTCAAGCCTAGACACGATGGGAGCGAATATTAACTCATTGTCAAATCCAAAATTCCAATTGGAATTCTATTAGCATTTTTTCCGTTTTTCAAAAGAAAAAATCAATAGATTTTCATTTTCAATGAATTTTCGAAGTTTCTTAATCTGCATTTTACAAAATGGTATCACAGAATCGAACGGATAAAACTTGGAAAATTCATTCACAAGAATTCTTATGGAAAAAAATTGAAAGGAATAAGTTATGTAAAAAAATGAACATCTGTTGACTTTTAAAATATATATTTAGGACTAGGTTTCATTGCTGAGGTACTTACCTTCATCACAATATAGAAAAAAGTATACAACAGTAGATTGGACATGAGTACTGCTAGCAGGAAACTGGCAAAATCTTTTTTATGATGCATATTGCCAAACACAGCCAGACCAACGTTGCAAAAATTCGCTATGACGAGGAGAATGAGTCTTCCAGCATACATGGGCTTCAGAATATTTGAGACGCCTGATCGTGCGTCATGTTTGAATGTCTGGAAATAAATGAAGACGTCCCAAAATGATATTAAGGAGAATTCACCAATCTCTGATTACAGACATGAAAATTAATCTTGAACGTTAGACATATTTTTTCATTTCGAAGAATAATGAAAAATTGATGAGTAATTTTTGGAAAATTGCCAGGAGAAATCCTCCTTCAGCTGATTATTTCAATTATGATAATTCAATCGAACTCACCATGACTATTCGCCGAAACATTCCCCTGTCGAGTCTCCACCTGCCCATGTAATAAATCTGAGCAGTTAGAACAAGGCACACAAAAAGATGTATTATAGTAAATACAATCCAAAAATAATCAGAGCCGTCCAGGACTCCCAGCATCCCCAGGAATATGATGAGAGCTAGTACTCCAAATGTAACGGAAGCACGAGCATTTATGTCAGGATGTCTCGTTTGGTATATCTTCACCATGCACAGCACTGCTATTATGTACATGAAACTTGTGTCTGTAAAAATGGGAGAAAACATTAAAATCCATTGTGTTTTTACTCATTCTTATTCTTACACTTATTCTTCTATATATGAAATAAATATTCGTTACGAAATTCCAGTGAAAAATTACGTTTTCTGGATAGAAATATTCAATTATTTAAATATTCAATAGAAGCAAAAAATCTTAATTTTCAGGACTGTTTTAAGCCGCATTTACTAACTTCTCTCATTAAACATTCAAGCTAAAAACCTCTGAAAAATTACGGAAATAAGTCGACTCATCTCCCAGTTGAGTTTTTGAGGAATATTTCTGAATCTAAGTGAAATAGCGAAATTTTCGTAATTACATTTGTTGTAGCTCTCAATCGGCTCTACAAAAAAGGTTTTAAAACCATTTTGCTATCTCTTTTAGATTGCGAGATATTCACTGAAAACTGGTCAATAGTCAAAATTGACTTGTACCGTTTTACCACTTCGCTACAAATGTTTAGCCCCTGCCCTCACACTCACCAAACTGAAAATTACTGTGATTGGGGCAAACATGATAGCAAGCCGAGAGCACCCCCTCCATCATCAAGGCAGTGCCCATGGCATAAAAAAGTCCATAATGCTGTGGTATCCCAAAGCTCTTCTTCTTCTCAGCGAACGGCAAGTCCCCCTGCTCCCTCACCCACGTCAGTAGAATGAACAGAAGCCCCAGTAGAATATACCCAAAATTGGAAAAGACATGATTGAAGTCAGAGAATCCAAAGAAAGGATGTGAACACAGGAAATTGAAGTAGCAGAGGTCCTGGTTACCCGTGACGCGGATGACCCTCTGATAAGTCGCCATCAGCTGAACGACAGGTAGTGCATAGAACACGGCGATAGTCCCCAGGTAATAAAGATACAGTCGTGATTTGTGCCGAAGGATCTTCGGCGCCTTTCGAGCTAGATCGGAGACCGAGAGGACTCGTTTTGTGCGGATTATCTCTTTATCTGAGAGGACATCGTTGAGCATGTCTATGTCGTCTTCGTCCCGGGACGAGTCGTCGTCTACTGATGTCCATTGACTGGGACCAGCCGCCTCCATTACCGATGGACTCGGCAGCAGCTCAGGCTCGGGATTCTCATCGACCTGGGCAACTGCTGCCTGCAGTCTCCTTCGTGTCCTCACTCTGGACATTAATGAATGGACAAGACGAGCGTAAACATCGTTTTCATACTGTTCTCGTGGTTTTTACTTAAAGAATTGGAGTGTTTACTTCATTCGAAGTTTATTTCATTTGAGTTGATAATTGCTTTTTGTATCGTTTTATGTATGAATAAATGCAATAAAAAATGTAATGCTTCTTTTGAGAAATTCTATTAATTTTTTCATATTACTTTATTTTGATTTTTCTATAAGCTTTTTTTTCTTGAATTTAGTCATGAAAGAATTGTTCTTTGTATTGAAAAAATATATATTAAATTTCATCAACAGTTCAATCCCTCATTAACATTTGAAAAAAAGTCAAAAGTGTCCGTTTTACCCCAACCTCCCCTGTAGATAATGAAATTCAAATAAATTCTTGGAGAACAGGATAGAATTGCAAATGATGACGAAAATATGAACATTATTGATCCTTTGAGGTGATTGGCGATTATTTTAATCAACATATTTTTAATAATCAATTTTAGAGGAGTGCCATTAAATTCGATATAGGAGAAAAAAATTTTGAAATTTCAGATTTCACAGAAAATTTAATTTTCAAAATTGCTTGAATTTCCAATCAAAACATGAATATTCAGTTATAATTACGAATTTTAATTTTAATTAATCAATTTTATTGAAAAGTCGAGAATATATTTACCTAAATTCACCATTTCCATTGATTTTTTCAAAAAATTTCCAAGAATTGTACCAGAAATTTCAGCCAAAAATTTTGCACAATCTTAAAAAATTGGTAGGATCCGGATAAATTTTATGCAATCGACACTGTCAACATCAATTCTCTATAATCCCAGTACTTAAGTTTTTTATTCACACAAGTATGAAATGAAAAAAAGTAACATACCGGTGGGACACCACTCCGATGACATAAAACCCACAGAAAGCAAATCCAATGACCATCGTGATGACCGCTGCCGTGACACCATCATTGAACGTGATATTCGGGGTGATGGTAATTGTCACAGTTTTGTTTCGATTTGATGGCCCCATCTCCAGGGTGCAATCGGTGTCGTCCCCTTTGACCACCAGGATGATGAAGAAGCCATTGGGATAGGCCTCCCTGGGGATCGTTATGCCCCCTAATTGACTCACTGTCTGCCAGTGCCCGGAGAATTGAATGTTTCGTTCCAGATCGAAGACTGGGCATGATGGGTTTTGGACTGACACCGTCATGCAGGTATCGCTGTCCGATTCGATCTTCACGAGGACTGAGCGATTGTCCGCTTCGTTCGAGAAGTTGTAGCCGTAGTAGTGGGGCTCTGAGGGGGAGATCACCAGCTTCCGAGATTCTCCGGATCTGCCGAAATTTAATGATTTCATCGTTCATGGGGCTGTGACATGTGTGGAAGAATGAGGGGAGAATGGAATGCTTTGATTTCAGAATAAAACGGTTTTGTGCAGTAAATATTTTTGATTTGATTTTCTGAAAGGGGAGCAGAAGATTTTTATTGAAATCCTGAGGTATTTCTTCTGGAACTCATGCATAAAAAAATCAGTGAATATAACGAGTGTTTTCGATAGGGTATTTTGTTGGATTTTCGTAAATTCCGGACAATTTCCATTGGAACTCCATAACTCAGAAACAGATTTATCAATTGAGCTCAGTCTAAGCTCATCACAAAGAGGAATCATTGTTTTTCAATTGAAAAATAAAATTATTCCATTTCATGAACAATTCAACGCGTCATGAATATTTCAAAAAAAGTCAAAAGTGTCCGTTTTCCCCTACCCTCCCCTACATACATGCATACATACATACAGACACCATCTAAAAATCGCATATTTTGACTTTTTAGACCAAATTTAATTACCCTGACACAAAAATTTCGAAACTTAACTTTGAACGATTACAAAGCTTCGGAAGCAAAAATGGAAAAAAATTCAGTTGACAAAATTTCTTGAATTTTTGTTTTTCGAATAGTTCAACCATACCGAATATAGAAATCTGTCTCTGCAATAACTGACAAATGGAAGTTGATGTGGGATCTGCTCTCGGTCGATATGCTGACAGTGATGAACTCCTCGTCCTCCAGGTCTTCCCTCCCCAGTTTGTAATAACTCGCGGAGCAGAGAGTTCTGCTGGTCTTGGAGTACGCCTGGGGTTTTGCATTCTTCCTCTCCACCAGGAGGGGAATTTGCCACGAGAGAATTCCCTTTTTCTCTCTGACAACGACAATCAGGGGTTCGTCTTCAGATGCATCACTGTCTACGTAGATCCTCGCACCCTGGGTGTTCTGTAATTTTGTTCAAATTCTTTGTATCAACTATTAGGTACATAAAATGTGAATACTTGGCTGAAAGCCGCCGGGCGATGGCCAGTTAACAAATTCCAGTAACACATTTAAAAATAAATAAAAAGTATTTCTGAATTGATTAATTTTTCAGAAAATAAATCTTCAGAAAAACTGTCAAATTACAAAATAAAATAACATGCAGAATTTTCGATATAATTTCTATTGAAATTCCCTCGCAATCAAAATTATTTTGTGCCATCGAAAATTCAATTGATCATTGATATTTAAAAAAATGAAAATGTGCATTTAAAAAAAATGAAAATGTGCATTTCAACGGTCATATTTAATTCCTTACATTCTTGTTGCTGTAGAGGAAGACCCATTCGATGCTCGTATTGAGGGTTTTACTGTACTGCACCCCATATTCAGCCAAAATGACTTGAGGATACAGTGGTGGAGGTGGCTCAGAGGACTGTGATAAAGCCTTGATGATCGGTAGCAGTGAGATCCAAACGATGAACAACACCCTCATCTTGATGTCGTTAACTACAGCCAAAGAATGAACTCCATGAATTTTGGGCCACCCGTTAGGAATAAACTGATTGATTGAGATTGATTAGATACCGTACCTCTGCGTTATTTAAGCCATTTCTTCCTCTTCTGGCTGGACGAAGTGAAAAATTAACCTCAATCATCACTCCGGTACTGTACTGTCATCCTATATACAGTTCGCAGAATAAATGCTTTGTGCATAGGTGGACACACGCGCGAGTACTGAAATCAGTAGCGAAGTGGTAAAGTGGTTTAGCTCGACTCATCTCCACAGTGGAGTTTTTGAGGAATATTTCCGAATCTGAGGGAGATATCGAAATTTTCGTAATTATACTTGTTGTAGCTCTCAATCAGCTCTACAAAAAAGTTTATAACAAAAATTTTGCCATCTCCCGTAGATTCCGAGATATTCATTGAAAACTGGCCAATAGTCAAAATTCACTTGAACCGTTTTACCACTTGAAACGAAAAAAAAAAAAAAAACGATGACAGAATGAAATGTGACCAATGCTGACGCAGATCTGATAACTCTTTGTTCCTTTCTTTATCATGAATGAAAAGAGTTCAGTAAAACTAGCGATTTTGATGGGGAATTCCGATGGATTTCTTTGAGAATTCAATTGAAATTTCAGGGAATTTTAATGGACACTGATCAAAAAAATTTGTAGGAAAAATTAGAGAATTCGTTGGAAAATTCTGTTGAACTTTTTGTTTGATTTTCTTGGTGAGAAGAAAAGAAAAATAGAATGAAAAAAACTTGAAAAATTTGAGGCGAGGAAATTCTATGGAAAATATCTGAAGAGAATAAGTTATGTGAAAAAATAAAATTCTATTGACTTTTCTGCTGAATATTTCAATGGGTTCGGCCAAAAACTAATAGAAAGGTCAATAGAAATTTCTAGCGAATCCGTTGGAATTCCTTGAGAATTCAATTGAAATAGAATTCTATTGGGATTCCTTATAATAGTGCAGTAATATAAATTCTTTGAGATTTCTTTTGAATTCCCATTGAAACTGTAGAAGAATTCATTTCAAATTATTCTCTTGAGACGTTTTCTGTCAAACTTCTTGCGAATAAATTTCCCAAATTTTTTTTTGCTGTATTTTTCATGTTTTCCTTTACGAAATTCGCAAATAAAATCTTAAACACGAACTTTTAACAAAAAATCCTGATTTTTCTCTCAACGATTTTTTAATCCTCGTGACGATTGTTTGACACGCAAATGATGTTCCATTAGAACCTCAATTGTAATTAACACTAAAAAAATCATCTTTCATTATTTGTACAATTTTTATTACTTCAAAGATAATTGCAACCAATTTTTTCTCAATTGCAGTGTATCAACGTGTGACAATCGTATATTTATTTCAGTGAAAAAAAAGATGTAGTTGTTTAAATCCAATAGAAAAAAGGAAATCAATGGAGTTTAAAGGGTGAGGATTTCAGAGGCCCTAGACTCCAGGAGGTGCTCCATGATGTTGACATCCTTGTACCATCTCTCGAGTTGTTGGACCATCCCAGCTATTTGTGTGCGATCGAGAACTCGGGGCTGCACCCAAGTCATATTGACGATTCCAGCTACTTGATCGATGGCTCCACGAACGAGACCCTGGGCTAGGGCCTTCATTACTAGGAGCTCTACTTCGTTGACTGGGAGACGAGTCTCTTGGGAGATCTCGGAGAATGACAGTTGGCTGAATAAAAAAGGAAAACAAAAGAACAATTAATGATTATTGCTTAATAATTATTAAATTAAAAATAATCGTTCAACTTTTCCCCAATGTGAACATGATTTTAGAGGAGAATGATTATACTTTAATAATTATTCTTTAGTTATAAATAATTATTCACCTGTTCTCAATATTTATATGATTTTGGAAAAAAGTATAATTTTTTTATGGGGAATAATCCATGAGATTTATTCCAACATTAATTGTTTAATTATTTAGTGATGAATCATTTAAATGAAAAATATCTTGAAACTTTTTGTCATAAATTGGCTTATCATCAAGATCAACACGAAGTACTGAACAAAAAACCTGTGATGACAACTTTAAAAATGGTTTAATGATTATATTTTAATAATTATTCGTTAGTTAATAATAATTATTCAACTGTTCTCAAATACTTATATGATTGTAGAGGAAAATGTAATTTTTTTATGGGGAATAATCCATGAGATTTATTCTGACATTAATTGTTTAATTATTTAGTGATGAATCATTTAAATGGAAAATATCCTGAAACTTTTTGTCATAAATTCACTTATCATCAAGATCAACACGAAGTACTGAACAAAAAACCTGTGATGACAACTTTAAAAATGGTTTAATGATTATATTTTAATAATTATTCGTTAGTTAATAATAATTATTCAACTGTTTTCAAATATTTATATGATTGTAGAGGAAAATGTAATTTTTTTATGGGGAATAATCCATGAGATTTATTGTGTCATTAATTAATAGTTTAATTATTTAGTGATGAATCATTTAAATGAAAAATATCTTGAAATTTTTTGTCATAAATTCACTTATCATCAAGATCAATACGAAATACTGAACGAAACAAAAGATGTGATTAAACTTCCAGAAATGAGAAATAATTACCGGTTATTCGATTGACGTTTGAACGTCATCTCCATGAGGCAGAGGAGTGAAATTTTCTGTCTGAGTTTCAATTCCTGGGCGGCTAGATCAGCAACTTTAGACCACTGGGGCTTGAGTCTCTCGAGAGCTGCTATATCCCCGGCATTGAACGCCTGGAGGAGATCGACGAGCCAGGCATTGGGGGTTCCCCTGAGGGACTGGAGCACAGGGTGTGCCAACAGTTCTCCAATGTTATAGACCCCTTCACCCAGGAGGGCAGCGAGACCCAGGAAGAACGCGTGCTGCTCTTTCTCTTGTTTCGTGAGGGTTTCTACGTCGATGCAGCCCAAATACCTGATGAAAATTATCGTAAATATTAAAATTATACATTAGTCAACTCACGTTTGTATTTTGGGAAAAATAAATTCCAATCAACTCTTTCATTTAAACGATTCAAACGATTCAAGGGATTAAAATGCTTCATTGAGAGGCAAAAATACATGAAAAAATAATTAACATTTAGAGGAAAAAGACATTTAGGGCTCAGGAATTAAATATATAAAGAAAAAATAATATACCACAATATTTCCAATCGAGCATTTCAATTGAAAAAAATATACAGAGAATCTTCGAATATTTTAATAAAATAACAAGTAGAATTATCAACAGAATTTGTGAAATCTATTTGTGAATTCTATGTAAAAGGAAAAGAAACATAAGACAAGAAAGGAAATAATATGAATGGATCAACATTTTACAATTATTTACTCTCGTTAGCCTATTAGCCTGTTCCGGTTTGTCATTATTCTGCTTTTTTATTGAGAAGTTTGAAGCAATAAAAAAACCTCTCATATCTTTCCTGGGAGACAAAACGTTTAGTCGAGCAATTTAAAAAATTACGACTATTAAATTAAATCCTAGATTAAGTTCTCAAAATGATAACCCATCTTGAGTTGAAAAATTATAAAAAGAAGATGGAGAATACCTCAAGGCTGTGCGATAATACTCAGCATGTTTCCCCTGAAGCCTGTACAATCGACTCGCCAACAGGTAGAATCTCCCATGAACAGTGGTCACCCCATCAGCATTATCGAGCATGGCCTCGACATCCTCAATGACTTTTTTCGTCTTCTCCTGGTCATTGAGTTTGTCAAGGAGTATCTGGCCCTCGAGTACTTTACACAGTGAAACAGCCTCATTATTCTTCTCAACCTTGGGCTCTGTTGCCTCCAAGAACTTGATGGCCTCCCTCTTGTCCGGATATTGCTCAATCACATGAGCCAGTATTTCCACTAGAGACAATGGATTTATCCTGAAATCATTTCCAGGATTAACCCCAACCCCTGAGATAATAATCATTGGAGTAAATTGTCAAAATGGTTGTGTTTACTCACTTGTTTTCGAATGTCGAGAGGAAGTTTTTGTACAGCTGAATGAGATTATCCCCCTTCTGGAGGGAGGGATGCTTGACAAATGTCTCCAACTTCAACGTGAGTTGATGCCAAAGCCTGGAAAATCCAGTGAATAACAGGACAACAGTGACACGAGCAATGAAAATGGGATGATTAACACGAAAAACTCACTTTTTGTTGTACAACTCCTCCAGCTGGCCCCATTCAGCTGCTAATTCCTTGTCAGGAGTGTTCTGTTTTTGACTTAAAAACGAATTAACATCCTTGGGCCCTGCTACGCCTGCCATGTTTATTAACAAATCTCACAATGACCCGGCAAATTATTACTGACGCGAGGACTGAATTTTTCTGTAGATTGAAGACTTTGTTTCGAGGGATTTTGGAGGTTATCTTGTTTCAGAGCAGGGCTCGTTGGATTTTCGACAGGTGGCAGCACAATACTCTTCTTGTTTCGTGAAAATTAGGTGAATTTTCACGGTTTTGAATTTTTAACGAACGCTTTTAGGGCAACCAATAACAGCGCTCGTCCAATCACGAGTTTTCCCTCCTTTTTTCACTCGCAAAGAACTTTTCGTGGTGTTTGATCACTCCATTGTGGTTTGGGAAGGTGTGAGGACGTTTCGGTCAGAGAGACAAGTGTCACCTGTGTTTTTATTATTTTCGCCAAACTGAAGTGCCGAATTTACGGGTTTTGTGGCTGAAAAAGTGATCATTTTGAGCCAGAAAAAATTGGATTCGTATTCTACGAATGTTTGTGGACTCTATTGTTTCTGGAATCGTTTCAGAAACCGAATGACAGTCGTCAGAAGTGTGTGTGTACATTCGAGTTTATTAATTGCTCCCTTTTCATCGATTTTTATGCGTTTATACGGCCGCAGGATTTTTCAACGGCAAAATCCAAACCTCTCGCCATTTATTCCCGCGTTTTCCCCTGTGTGAGGCGCCACTTTGAATTATGTGTTCTCATACCGCCGATGATCGCATCCTTCGCGGAATTGCTTGGACAATAATGTTTTCATCATTAAATCATCATTTAAACAATAAAACTATTGTGGACATTCGTAAAAAAAGTGTGCAGTCGGTTAATTACAGGAATAAAGGAGTGGGGATTGTGTTTATTGAATAACTCGAGTGTCTGGGATTAAAATTGGTGAATAATATTTTTTTAATAGTGGGAAAGGGCTGAATGTTGGACTTTCTCGGTTTAACTCGAGTCGCTGGAAGCGATATAACTCTATTCATGTCCGTTCTTTCTCCCAAGTACTGAAAAATAAATATCAGAGATCAATGGTGACATTTAATCATCATTTAAACAATAAAACTATCGTGGACATTCGTAAAAAAAAGTGTGTGCAGTCGGTTAATTACAGGAATAAAGGAGTGGGGATTGTGTTTATTGAATAACTCGAGTGTCTGGGATTAAAATTGGTGAATAATATTTTTTTAATAGTGGGAAAGGGCTGAATGTTGGACTTTCTCGGTTTAACTCGAGTCGCTGGAAGCGATATAACTCTATTCATGTCCGTTCTTTCTCCCAAGTACTGAAAAATAAATATCAGAGATCAATGGTGACATTTAATCATCATTTAAACAATAAAACTATCGTGGACATTCGTAAAAAAACGTGTGTGCAGTCGGTTAATTATAGGAATAAAGGAGTGGGGATTGTGTTTATTGAATAACTCGAGTGTCTGGGATTAAAATTGGTGAATAATATTTTTTTAATAGTGGGAAAGGGCTGAATGTTGGACTTTCTCGGTTTAACTCGAGTCGCTGGAAGCGATATAACTCTATTCATGTCCGTTCTTTCTCCCAAGTACTGAAAAATAAATATCAGAGATCAACGGTGACATTTAGTCATCATTTAAACAATAAGACTATCGTGGACATTCGTAAAAAAAAGTGTGTGCAGTCGGTTAATTATAGGAATAAAGGGGTGGGGATTGTGTTTATTGAATATTTATAGAAAGTCAGTGGTGTTTCGGGAGTTTAAGAGTGATATTTCTTCCAACGAGAGGAGAAGGAGACTATCTCATCGTCGTGGAGAACATTTTAAGGGGAATAGAACTGGATGGAGAGCACCAGTGGCAGTCTGAGTGTGGCATGGTGTGAAAATACACCAAAACACCTGTCAGAAGTACACTGTTAAAAAATTTTCACTGAAGTTTTCAGGCTTTAGTCTTTAAATATGAAACAAGTGATGGTTTCATTGAAATTTCAGGGAATTTTACCATTGAAAATTCGTGGTTTTCGTGGAAAATTCATGGAAATTTTAAATTTCAGTTAAACAATTCCATGAAAATTAATGGAAATGAGGAAAATTCAAGCAAAAATGTCCTTGAATTTTCAATTTTTTAAATTTCAGAGCAATTTCTTATTGAATTATCATGTTTACATTGAAAATTCACGGAAATTTCGGAATCTTCATGGTTCTTCCACTGAAAAATCAGGAATTTCCTTGACTTTCAGGGAAACTTGAAGTTTCATAGACTTTTTTCCGTTAAATTGAATTCAGTGTCATGTTCTGGAAAATTCAGTTAAATTTTTTTCACAGTGTACTCGCTGTACATTTATAACACAGAAATATGTTGTGTTTCCCTCATTCCAAGGTGATAGGCGTTCATCAGGTCAAGCGTTTCATTCTACGGTGTCATGAAAAGGTTGGTCTCTGTTAAATAATGGCAGGGTGGGTTAAACCGGACACTTCAGACTTTTTTAAAATTAGTCATAACTCAGAAACAAATTGATCAATTGAGCTGAGTTTAGGCTCGTCACAAAGGGAAAGAATTGTTCTTTGTATTGAAAAACAAAAAAATTAAATTTTGACAACATTTCAACCCCTCATTAACATTAAAAAAAAAGTCAAAAGTGTCCGTTTTACCCCGACCTCCCCTGTATTAATTTATAATCACAGAACAACTGAGGAACGATTTAAAAATCATTAATCTCGATTAATCCTTTTGCTATCCGTATCTCCAAAGTAAATAACTACAAATTCCAATGAATCCAATAATCTATCGACATTCCATCGACTCTCCACCTCGATCGATAGGATCTGCATGCTCTTGGAAGCAGCCAGTTGCAGAAATAAAACTTCACTTTTATCAGCTTATCATAGAGACGAAGATATCTTCGCAACTGACTATTGGAACGTTTACGATAAGATTTGCGATTCAAGAGCGTGAATACATCAGTACTCCGCGATATATTGAGTACAGAAGAGTGTTCGAAGCGCAGGAGAATCGTACAACAACAATGAAATGTTCTCGCGAAATTTGTCCACTTGAAATGTAAAAAATTTACTGCAACAACTGCTTTCAATCTCGTCATATCGGACATTAATCCGACCATGAGATGTCTCCAAAGTGGGATATCTTTAGTGAGAACCTGCATATTGCGAGGGTTCTTTTAATTATTCTGTGCGCCGCGTGCGGTTGCTGCTCACAAGCGAAGGATTCACTCAGTGCGCCACGCGATTTAAGGGTCTTCGTCTTTGAGGAGTCACCGGAGGACATTGTTACTGATGAAAATTATACTCTTCTGAAGTTTAACATCTCTTGGCTCCCACCGGAAGCACCTCTTTCCCCAAAATATTACAGGTTACACTAAACATTAATTCAATTGACTTGAGGAAATGAATTATTGTTTATGAAATGAGGATAATTGGGCTGAAAATTAATTGAATTATACCTACAAAATATTTCAATACATTTCCAAATTTAATTTTCCCATCCAAGTCATACATTTTCCGTCCATTATTTCTATCGATGATACTCATATAAAACTCGATAAAATGAATCATCGCAATATTATTGATATTTTGAGCAAAAATGATGCTTTAACAGTAGTAATCAATAATACTTGTATTCTTGGGTGGCCGTGCGGTTAGAAATATATTCAAAATTGGATTTGAATTAGTCAAGTCCACGTTTCGGTTGTGTATCAAAAGCCGCAGGATCAAAAGCAGGACAAACCCCCTTTAATTTATAAATACTTACGGAAATTCAAATTAACGGGGTTTGACCTCATGAGGTTTCTGATGCAGAACCCAAACTCTGACTTGACGCCTTACAATTTAATTTCTAATTTATTTCTGAGTAACTTTGTTTATCAAAAGTTTAGTTCTACCTAATTGACGTATCTATTATTATTATTATTATTATTATTATTATTATTATTATTATTATTATTTGAATTTAAAAACGAAAATTACATTCGTTGTTTGCAGATTCTATTGCAAAATTCCGAAACTTTTAATAGAAAATATTTTATTAAAACATATTAATAGATTTTTGCAATTATCCATGCGAATTTTTCAATGAGGGAAGAAAAAAATGCGGTGACTGAAAACTTGGGAACTTTTCAATCGAAATTTTAATAAAAATCCAACAGGATTTTTTAAATTAATCTTTTTTTCCGCATACTTTTACAATGGAATTTTTGAGATGATAATTAAGACAGATTTTTCCTCTTTAGTATTTTAATCAGTTCAGTCGAAAATGCAGAGAATACTCATGACGATGCATTGGATAATGTCAGTGATTGCCCACTCGAGGAAAATATTTTCCAAACAACGTGGAATGCAGAACAAACAAGCATTGTGCTGCCGGAGAACAAATTTCTCTCCGAAATTCCAGAACTGACAATCAGGCCTACATGCACGTATGAAATACAAGTTATCGCACAGCCGCGGGCTGCTGGAACGTCTAATACTGCCAAGGTTCTGAAAAATGTGTAATAATACACGGGTGAAAAAATTTAGTGGAAGAATTGAGATTTTTTCAATAAATTGTCTAGAATTCCTGTTGGAACTCTATGAGAAGTTTATTAGAGTCCTGGATTTTCCAAACGAATGATTTCACCCGTGTGATAATGATATCAATGATAATATTGATGATAAAAAAATGAACATCATAATATGTTCTCGCAGATTAACTTTACGGTACCGAACTGTGTAGGGAAGTCTTGCAATTGTCGAGATGCTTACGAACATCTCCCTGTTCCTCAAGTATACGGAGAAGTTTTAGAGTCTGGGGAGATTGAAATCAGATGGGAAATAGCTAAGAATCATTCCCCCGTGAGTTCGTATGTATTGAGGTCCGTTTCGTGTAAGAAAAAATCTAGAAAATTCTGTTGAAATTCCGTTTAAAATGGAAAATTCATGAAGCTGAAACTAGCGAAAGATTCGACAGCGGAAGTCGTGTTTTTGAGTAATGTACAAACTCTTTCGCACTTAAAGTAGCTCTACCCTTACGGTAAATTCAAAGATTATTGCAGACTGCAAAAACATTGCAGAAAACTCGATTAGATTCGGCATTCTAATTTTTTTCTCAATTTAATTATCGTTTTGGTTTTTCAACGAAGAAATGTTTAAAAATCAGGGTTTAACCCAGTGTCTTATGTGAAAATCAACATTTCCATTGTAATCAAAGATTAAAATATAAATTTTTTTTTCATTAGATGTGAAAAAATCAACAATTTTTTTGACACCTCATAAAAAATAATCCACCGTTTCGCAAACAAGTTTTATTATTTATTTATAAGAGGGAAATGTTTGAAAAAATATCAATATATTGCGAAATTTAATTTAGATAATGCTGACTGGGTATGAATTTTTTCAAAATTTTTCCGTGCAATTTAGTTGAAAAATTGAAAAACTGAAAATATCCAAAAATACAGCGTAGCCCGGCCGAAGGGTAGAGCTACTTTAAGAAACATTTTTACATATGATTATTTGACTCTCCTACACTTAAATATCCCTTAAATTGAATTTTGCGCTGACAAATATTCTGCTAATTTCAGCTTCATGGAAAATTTTATTTTCAATGAAAAAAAACTAATAATGAATAACGTCCAGGAATTTTTGTAGGAGAAATCTGAACAAAATCCTTCGTGTCCAAATCTCTCGATTTATATTTATTAAACATTTTTCTATATTTTCTAATTCGAAAACAATGAATGCAAAGGCCGCGGGATTTTCAATAGAATTTCTTCATCTTCTTTCTCCGCTGAAAAATGAAAAAATAAATAATTATCTGTCAATCAGTTACGCCGTTCCGCTACTGATATCAAAAAATGATCTGCCTGTCTACAACATATCTAAACTAGTTCAACTGCCTGGCAATACATCAAACTACATTATGAATATTGATTTGAGCACTTCAATTTCGTCACCAATGGGGCATGCGATATTGTTAGCAACTGAGGATGCGAATGGATGTCTCGGGAAACCTTTTGCCTTTTCCATGAGTGACGAACCTAAATTGGAGCAGTCTACCAAGAGAATACGTAATGTGAGGGTAAAACTCAACAGGAGACAGACATCAACTCAAAATGCTAAAGAGAAACATTGTTTCCTGTGAGACATTTAATTGAATCTAACTTCAGTTTTTGTTGCCTAAACTTTTAAATTACAGAAAAAAATGCAATGAAAAAATACTAAGAAAAGTTATGCTCCGGAATTTTCATAGAAAAATGATGATTTATTATTTTTTCTGTTGAATATTTCGTTAAAAAAATTATTCCCGAAAATTTTGTCATACGCGTTGTCGATTTGAATGCGATTAAATCTCGGAATTAATAACAGGGGCCGCTATACATCTCAATCGCAGTCGTGTGTATAGTGATCCTAGGAGGATTGAGTTTCGTCTGCACTCGGAGATGTGACAAGTATAAAATAATTCTTCCGAGTTCGCCAACAGCGTAAGTAGACAGTCAATATCTCAAGAATCTTTTTAAGTGTGATAAATCGGTTGCCGATTCTTTGGCAGCGGTTCCCGCAGAATCACTGAATGGGTTTGAATGGTATTTTTATTATTATAATAATAAAAAACGGAGAGAAATATTTAGTAAAAAGTACGTGTCTTTTCCGTAATTCTGGAGCGAAATGTGGTTGTAGGAAATTTTCCGGAACTGTTACGGAATTTTTCGAGAGCGTTCCGCAAGTTTTACCTGAATCTCCTGTGAAAAATTACGATACCATCACTTAAATTTTCTGATGAGTCGATTCCGTAATCGGTGAGTGAATTATGAGTTCCGTAATTTTTACTGAAGATTTCTCTTCGTACGGTGCATAGTTAAGCATACACCGTAAAGCTTTCTGGAAAATTCTGGAACTGAGCGGAAAATTCTAGAATATTTTCGAGTTTTCGAGAATATTTTTGAGATTTTTACAAAATTAGAGGATATTCGCGGATTTTATAGTAAGTTGGAAAAAATCCTTTGGTGTTACAGAAAATTCGAGAAAATTCTTTGGTTTCACAGAGAAGTCGGAAGAACTTCCAGAAAATTGGAGCGTATTCTCAGGTTTTCTAGTAAATTAGAGGAAATTTTGGGATTTTCTGGAATATTCGGGGGAATTCTTGGATTTTCTAGAAAATTCCAAGAAATTCTCGGATTTCCTAAAAAAAAATTTTGTTACAATTGAGCAATTTAATTTCAAATTCTGATTGGCTAGCTGTGTGGACCTCCTTCGCCCGGGCAGAATAAGAGAAAATTGCATACCAAAATTTTTGAGAATTCCTGCAATTAAAAAAAAACCTCTGTTTTCGACTTTTTTGGAACACCCGAGAAGTCCACAAAATCTGATGGTTTTCCAAAGAAATTGAGAAAATTCTCGGGTGGTTCTAGAAAATTCGAAAACATTGAGCTATTTTTTTGATCACAGAAATTCTCAAAAATCCTTTTTCTTATTATGTTAATTTTCTCTTATTATGTCCGGGCCACACCGCTAATATTCCATAAGTGTCAACACCCGATAAATTCACCCCGTTTTCAGAATTCCCTCGCTGACAGGAATTTCCGACAGAGTGCAATGGGTCAATTCAATTTTAAAAAAGCACAATAGTCTGTACATCCACCGGGATAACGAGGTAATCAATGTCTCAGGTCGCCCTAATGTAATGTCACCAACGAATGCTCATTTGTACAATTAATTGAATAATCAATATTGATTTATTTTGCGAAGCTCGAGGCTCCGGAAATCGGAGTGGATGCATTCGAAATATCCTACGAGAGATTGAGAATATCGAAGGAGCTGGGGAAAGGACAGTTTGGCAGAGTTTATCTGGGCTATCTCGATAATGATTTTCCAGTAGCTGTTAAATTATCAAATTCATCAACGAAATTCGATGAGTTGGAGGCACGTCGGCAGCTACTCGATGAAATTCAAACGATGAAACGAGTCGGATCGCATTCACATCTTGTTAAATTGATTGGATGTTGTACACTACCAGATAATCCAATTTGCGTTGTTCTGGAGTACGTGGAGGGGGGTGATTTGCTGTGTTATCTGCATCAATTGAGGGACACACTAATCAAAAAATGCGGGGATTCACGTCAGCGCGGGCATCACAATGATGCAGACAGTAAGAATACAAGTTTTGTTTTATCGATCTGGTGTCATTCATTGCAATCTAGTGGATTGTTGAATGCCTATTTTTAGGAGTATCCCTGCGAGGCGGATGTTCTCTTTGAATCTGCAAGTTTAATTATGAATTGTATTTTTAGACTGAGAGTGAGATTAAATTCGATAAGTGAGGTGCAGGACGTTTCCTTCATGTGTGAATATGGGAATTGAGTACATTGAGAGAAAAACAAACACGTTGTCAAACAAGTCTTGTTTGGTCCAACAAAATCGCTAGTTGAAAATTGCCAAAAAAGAATTTGTTTGGTTCGAATTTGAAAGTCTCAGACATAAATAATTCGAGCAATTCATTGTTCCAACCACACAACTCATTGTAATTGTTCTGCTCTCGACACAACGAAATATTTGCCTCAAGAGGTGGATAATTCACACCAGACGGTGCCTTTTCAGGATGAAAATATCTCATATAGAGGAAAATTTGTCAACAAACATTTTATCCCTAAGTTACAAGATTGCTATCATATTATTATTATTGTTTCATTTAAGGGTTCATTTGTTGTCTGCGATTATTATACAGCCGAAAGGAAAAACTACTATCCCCTGTTTCGCATGAAACAAAGATTTTTCGGGAGCAAAATACGTATGGGAGTATCGAAAAACGATGGAGTAGTGCTAGAAATGACATTTCTTGCGTGTACAGAGAATGCAATTTTTTTTGAACTACTAAATCTATTTTTGCGACAAAAATTTTTCATTCCGGCGCACTCTCTGCATGTTTGGCACAAGAAAATCCTTTTTTGATAATTTTCAAAAGACTATTGCCAAACTTCTTGGCACAAGTAAGACTTGTTTGAGAACTTTGTCGTTTTCCTCTCAGTGTAGAAATTTCAGACGTTTTTTTTATTCTGATCAATCGAGAGTAACTCGTGTTTTGTGGAGGATTGGGATGCAGAGTTTTATCTAGAAGTCACAATATGCTGATTTTCTTTACATTTTAAAATTTTAAAATACGTATCTTAAATTTTTAATTAAATTTCATCATTTCGTCAATCTTGTTGAGTGCAAAATTTCATTCATCACTGAAATTAAATTGGAAATAAAAAAAAATGAAATTCGCCTGAATTTTTTAATGGAGAGTGAGATTAAATTCGATAATTGAGGTACAGAACGTTTCCTTCATGTGTGAATATGAGAATTGAGTGGAAATGGCAGACGTTTTTTTATATTCTGATCAATCGAGAGTAACTCGTGATTTATGGAGGATTGGGGTGCAGAGTTTTATCTAGAAGTCACAATGTGCTGATTTTCTTTACATTTTAAAATTTAAAAATACGTATCTTAAATTTTTAATTAAATTTCATCATTTCGTCAATCCTGTTGAATGCAAAATTTCATTCATCACTGAAATTAAATTGGAAATAAAAAAAAATGAAATTCGGCTGAATTTTTTAATGGAGAGTGAGACTAAATTCGATAATTACGAACATTTCCTTCCTGTTTGAAAATGAGAATTGAGTAAAATGTCTGCCAACTCAATTTGATTCTGATGAATCGTGGATAATTGATAAATCATGCCCAATGGCATGTCATCAATTGAATTTTAAAATTCATTAGTGAAATTAAATGGGAAAAATAGACAGAAAATCAGGTCATTCCCATCATCATATCAAATCTGGATTTGAATTATCAGTCGTTGCTTGAACTCTTGATGAATAATTAAATACCACTCCCACGTTGCGATTATAAGACAGATTCTGGCGTGATTCATTAATCAATATTGGAAATCCAAGTAAATGGACGGATCAGATTTGTCGGCTGTAAGCGGTCCACTGACCCCGTGAATTTCACGACTCACTTGTGAAGATTGAACATTGCGCTAAATTTACATAAATCGAATTCAACTTCTGAAAAAACTATTCGTTAATCGTTTATTTACGCTCTTTAAATTCAAAAAGATAAAGTTTTTTTTTTATTCAGTAAATATGGGAGTTTCGGGAAAAGTTTTGAAAAAACCGTGCATTTTCATATGAACGCCTGCAGTTGTCAAAAGTCCAGAAAACTTCCACTTGAAATGAAAAGTGAGATTTTCCATCAGTGGACTTTACAGTGCGCAACCAACTTCTTTTTTCTCCTTCTCCAATAACCACGTGCAATGCTGAATAGTCTACGTATCGACACTCAGTGATACTCCCATGAACATTTTCAGTGAATGCAGTGGAGCTTGATGGCCGTATTTATGTAAATATCAGGGACAATGAGTTGCTCTCAATGTCCGATGGGATTGACAATAAACGATTTACCTCGTTTGCATTGGATATTGCCAGGGGGATGCAGCACCTTGAGAAAAATGGCATTGTGCATCGGGATCTCGCTGCCAGGAACATTCTCCTGACGCCCCAGAAATCCTTGAAGGTTTGGGAAGCTCCGATTATTAATTGATTGAAGGAGTACACTGTTAAAAATTTTCGTCTCAATTTTTTGGGTCAAATCCCGGAAATTTTTAATATGTTCAATTTTCGCTGAGGCTTCAGAAAATCTTGTCATTAAAAAATCAAATATTCTATTGATTTTCTGTTTGAATGATGCGAAAATCAATGAAATACTTGAATTTTCAGTCCAATTATTCCGTGGAAATTCGGTAAAATCAGGAAAATTCGGGGAGAAATGAAAAATTGATGGCATTTTTTTCTGAATATTCATGTTTCATTGGAAATTTTATCAAGTTGTACAATTTTTGTCTCACTCAGGTTGAAAACTCATGAATTTCCTAGAATTTCACCTAAAACTTGGAATTTCATAAACATTTTTCCCCTCAATCAGATTCAATGTCACTCTCATGAGAATTACTACCCTATTTTCCATGGCATTTCGAAAAACTGCTAACAGTGTAGTGAAACAAAATGAGATCTTCAATGCTATCTTAGAGTGTCTTAAAATTATCTGAATTTGTTTGTTAAATTAAATCATGACAGTGCGGTTTTTAAACGTTTCGATGAGTTTGATTCTTCTTTGAAGGAATTCTGGGTAGCACTGTGAGAGAACAATTGATATTTCAGTGAAAATTGGCTAGTAATTTTAAGAAGAGGGATATTTAATTCGATTTAGGAGGGAAAAATCATAAAATAACTGATTTCACTGAAAATTCCATGAAATTGCACATTTTTGCACATTAATATTCAGCGGCAAATTACAACGAATTTTCAATTAATTGAATATTCAAGAATATATATGTCCAAATTTGTCTGATTTCTAATAATATTCATGGAATTATTGAACTGAAATTTCTATTATTGAACTGAAATAGTTATAAAATTTCAAATTTTAAAGAGAATTCACGGAAATTCATGAGTTTTCAGTGGGAGTGAGGTGGAAATTTCCCAACTAGATTGAATTTTCAGTGGAACATGAATATTCAGAAACAAAATGCCACCGATTTTCAGTTTTTCCCTGAATTTTTTCAATTTTCTGAATTTTCAAAGAATAATTGAACTGAAAAATCGCGTATTTTACTGCTCTTTAGATCACTAGACCAAACTATCATCAGAATATTTGATTTTTCAATGTCAAGATTTCCCGAGATGTCAGTGGCCCTTGAACGCGCCAAAAATTTCCGTAATTTGGGGCGGAAAATTCAGTCAAAAAATTTGAACAGTGAATGTCTCGATTCGAAAACTCCTCGAATCATCATTTTTCCGTCCAAAACAGATAGCGGATTTCGGTCTGTCCCGCGAGGGTGTGTACATAATCCACGAGAACGGAATAGGCGGACGTCGGCTGCCAGCGCGCTGGATGGCCCCGGAAACCCTGAGCGAGCGCGCTTTCTCGAACAAAAGTGACGTGTGGTCCTACGGCGTGGTATTGTGGGAGATCGAGACCCTCGGCTCATTCCCCTACGCCGAGATTCAGGACGACGAGATTCTGCATCACATCGTGAAAATCGGCACGCGATTGCCCCTCCCCGGGGGCATCAGCACAGTTCACCACGAGATAATGCGACGTTGCTGGTCCACACGACCGCGGGATCGCCCGAATTTCTCGGATATTGTGGAGCGTCTTGCCACACCCAACCCCCCCTCACCCATGATCACCAGCAGCAATCCCTGCTACGCCCTGCAGCCCTCATCCTACACCTTCCTCTCGACTTATGAATGAAAAAGCCCATTCAACCCTCATCTCCCCGTCATTCATGAAAAATCGAAATTAGTGACCACGCAACAGCCCACAAATACGAAGGAATTCCATCAATCAATTCTGAACACCCCAAACCCCCGGGAAAAACCACGTGATGGCGCCCCTACAGCCCCCCACCGCCTCGCACTGATAAAGGGGTAGTTTCACGGAAGATCCTCTTAAAAAAAATGTAACGTTTTTTGTCATTCCGCTGTGGTTGAGTTATGAATATTTACATCCTAACTTGAATGTTCTCTGATGAAAATCTTTATATATTTCTATGTTTCCAAATTATATTCATTAAACAGAAGTATTTTTGCCTTTAAATAGTTAATTTAATCATCAACAGTGACTAGATTAGGTAGTTTACATAATTCATTATAATAATAATTCATTCAAATAAGAAATACGAAAGAAAAGAAAGAATACGAGAAAATCGTTATATATTGCTATAAAGATTTTCATTGTATTCTCTCTTTTCTTTCGTATTTCTTATTTTTTTCCCTCAACCACTTTCACGGGCGATCGTCTCTTTCCGATTCGTCATTCTTTTATGTCGTGTCTTTTTCCGCGGACGTTTTTTTTATTATTTTCTTTCGATTATTTTCTTTTCTTTCTTACAAAGCAGTATGAAAATTCGGCTGCGTGAAACACACAAACTTCACGCATGCGTGGAGTGAATGGAGTGTACGGGAGTGACTCACGCAATGGTGCGAATAGTCACGGCCCTAAAGATGATGTCTGTTTTCAATTGAAAAGCGCAATTGTGACAACATTGTCCAGTGGGGTCTAGGAGTCTCCCCTGGTTCAAAACCATCTTTAGAGGCCCTAGCAACCCATTTCTCGAACCGCTCTTTCATTTGAGCCCAAAAAAACATTCATATCGAGACTCCTAGACGCCAATANTTTGAACCAGGGGAGACTCCTAGACGCCAATGTTCTATACATACTCCTAGACCCCATTGTCCTCCTAGACAATGATGTCACAACTCTGCTTTTCAATTGAAAACCGACATCATCTTTAGAGACATTTGTCATGTTTAGAGACTCTAGCACGTCATTTCTCGACCCACTCTTTCATTTGAGCCCAACAAAACATTCATATCTTATCTGACATCGCTGCTACAAACTCGGGTTTACAACTCGGGCACTCAATTGGGTAAGAAAGCAATTTCTCAAACCAAGTAAAATTGAATTAATTCATTCAATAGCTTTTAGCCTCAGTTCTAAAATATTTAATGCAAAAACCACTTGAATTGATTTGAGAACTCGCTTTCTGATATGAACCAATTGCCCTCGTCTTTCGGACGAGTATAAAATTTCCTGAAGTAAGATTTTTCTTCTCAATGTTATGGATATTATGCGCTTGGTAATTTTCGCGCCATGAATTTCTTTAACAAGTAAAAACGTAAAAAACCTTTCAAAGAACTCTTGTCTTCTCTATTCTATTCTATTATTTTATTTATTTAATCTCATTGTGTTGTTTCTCTCTCAGTGCAATGCCCAAAAAAATTCAAACCAACAGCCCCTCCGCAGTCCATAACTCCAAAAAATCCCATCAATCAGTCCCGAACCCCTGAAACCTCCCCAAAACCCCGGGGGATGGCGCCTGCTACGACCCCCACCACCTCCCCCCGGCGTAGGGGTAGTTGCCACAGAGGGTGGCCCGAGAAACGATCGAAAGCACTATCCCCAGTTGTAGCGCCGACTCGGCACCGAAGTTGGGTAGTTTAAAGGCACACTGTAAAAAATAGTATGCACATTTGTATTTTTTAATTAAAAACCCAAAAAAAAAACCTAGGTGAAACAAGTATTAAAATTTTCTTTCCCTCAGCGGCACCGTTACCACTAACTAAACCTATATATATGTATATACATAAATTTATGTATATATACGTCACTATAAATAAATAAAACACTAAACAAAATGCAGCGTCAACAAGCTCAATGGAAGAAAATCGTATTTATATATACTTTACAATTATTTTCATGTAAGTTTGACATTTATATTTCTACTTATTACTGTGACACATATTTATTATTAGTGCCCAA